CCAAGCTCCCTGTCTCCCTCAGTTGGCCCTTTTCTCTTGAAGATAGCCTTGGCCACATTGAGTTTGTTTCTTTTTCTTTCTTCTCTGGACTCTTCCAGATGCCTCTAGATGTTCTTTCTTATCCACAATAAAAACTTCCCCCCAAATCATGGAGCAGCCATTTTGGTGGTTTCTTTACTGTGTCCCTCGAATACAATCATGTTATGGAGAATGTGTGGTTCCCCTCCCTACCCTCTCCGGGTTTCTGACAGTCTCTGAGTAAAGTGATGGGATGAGATTATCTCTTTTCCTCTCCCTCCCCCCCTCAACCTCCCTCTCCCTTCCCAGTGTTTTCCTTCCACTCCCTCCTCTTGAAAGGCTTGCAGGGACATAATCTGTATTGTGTGGTGTTTGGTATTCAGTGTACTATGAAAACAAAACAAATCCAAAAAAAAAAAAAAAAAACCAGTGAGCAACCACAATCATTTTTACTACTGTAATTTTAGTTTTAGATTCAGTGTTTATAGAGAGAAAAATCTCCTCACCCACACAATTTTTAATATGGACAAGTTACAAATGTTTGTGTAATGTGTTTTAGCCAAATAACAAACTATTTTAAAGTGAAGATTCCCAGGAGAGTAGAAGCAATTGCTTTGCAAAGGGCAGGGCAGCTTTTTGTTCCTGAACATGATTTTTGTTGACTCAGGCCGACTTGCTACAAACAGCCACTGCCATCTTAGTGGGGAAAACTGAGATAGTTTCTCGTGGAAAATTTTACAAGCACACAATAGGGCAAATACAATGTGTGTGAGCAGAGAACTCCCACCCCAACAGTTGTTCACCACCAGTAGGAAGTTAGCAGAGTTTTCCAAGTGGTGCATGTTGGCCCCAGGAGGAATACCCAGCTTCAAAGAAAGGGTAGGAAAATAAGTGTGCACTTGCTTCTCATGTGCTATAAGAGGACTGTTGTTCATCATGTCAGGATCTGTGACTCACAGCACACAAAAACTCACTTATCTACCTACTATATGAGAAATTACATAAGTGCTTTAACAATTCCTTCATCATATGATAATTCTGAGATATACACTACCACAAAAATGGTAATAATACACACACACACACACACACACACACACACACACACACACACACCTAACAAAAATAGGACAGAGGTTAAGTAGCTTGTCCAAGGAAGACAGCAAATTAGTATCTGTGCCTTAATTCAAATCCGGGTCTAATTTCAGAGCAAAAACAGGTTATCATTAGTATAGATTCACACCAGGAATAACAGATCAATTTTGAAGATACATTTTGGCTGAAAACCCAAATATTTTTAAAAAAGTATAAATACAATTTTGGTCAAAAAAGATCTGCCTTAAAAATGGGAAGTTAGGGCCAGATGGTGGTGGCGCATGCCTTTATTCCCAACACTCAGGAGGTAGAGGCAGGCTGATCTCTGTGAGTTCGAGACCAGCTTGGTCTGCAGAGCTAGTTTCAGGACAGGCTCCAAAGCTACAAACCCTGTCTTGAAAAAGAAAAGAAAAAAAGAAAAAGAAAAAAGATGGGAAGTTAGGCCTGTGGAGTTGGCTCAGTAGGAAAGGTCTTTGGCCATCCCTCTCTGAAGACCTGAGTCTGATCCCTAGGACTCACACAGTGGAAGGAGAGTAAAGAGTCCTAACCTGTTCTCTGACCTTCTTACATGTGCTGTGGCACACACACACTATCTCCACAAATCCTAAGTGTAATTTTATTTTATTTTATTTATTTATTTTTTTTTTGGAGACACGGTTTCTCTGTATCTTTGATCTGCCTGCCTCTGCCTCCCGAGTGCTGGGATCAAAGGTGTGAGACTCCCGGCTCCTACGTGTAATTTTTAAAAATTAAAAAATAGAAAGCTAGTAATCGGGTCATAGAATAAAGGATTGTGGGATAAAAATAGATTTGTGACCATTTTATATTTCCTCTTTACTAGAGCTTCATTCTCTACTCTCCCACCACCCCGTAGTCACTCTCTTCCTCTTCCTCTCCTTCCTTCCCTTCCTTCCTCCCTCTCTCCTCTTTCTCTCTCCCTCTCCTTCTCTATTTCTCTCTCTCCCTCTCCTCTATTTCTCTCTCTCCCTCTCTCTCTCCGCCTTTATTTCTCTCTTTCTCTCTCCCTCTTCCTGCTGCTGCTGCTGCTGCTGCCTGGAACTCATCATGTAGACCATGACGACTTCAAACTCATAGGGCCTTGGCTTTTTTTCTCCTGGATGCTGGGATTAAAGGTGTGTACACCATCCCCAGCTCCGACTCTCGGTAATACCTTGTTACTTTTCCTTTTGCTATGATGAAATACCTTGATGAAAGCAACAGGACAGGGAAAGTTTATTTTGGCTCACAGTTCAGGCTAAAGTAAGTCTATTACAGAAAGGAATGAAAGACAGTAGATGTTGAGAGGGACTGGTTATACTGCATCCAGTCAGGAGGCAGGACATGGTGAACACTGGTGCAGGACCCAGCCCACAGAATGGTACCATTCTCAGTGAGAGGGTCTTCCTACCTTAACCTTAGGCAAGATAACCCTTACAGGCATCGCCTGGATAGTCTACCAGGTCATTCTAGAGCTCATCAAACTGACAACTGAAATTAATTATCATCACACATCTATCTGTGAATTACTAACATTAACATCTGTTTTTGTTATTGTTTTTGAGACAGGGTCTCAACTGTGTAGCCCTAGCTGGCCTGGAACTTGCTATATAGACTATACTGGCCTCTAATTCAGAGATCCACCTGCCTCTTCTTCCCAAGTGCTAGGATTAAAGGTATGCCTGGCCCTAGGTGACTTTTTTTTTTTTCTGACACAGGCTTTTTCTGTGTAGCTCTGGCTTTTCTGGAACTTGTCTGTAAACCAGACTGGACTTGAACTCAGAGATCTGCCTGCCTCTGCCTCCCAAGTGCCAGCATGTAGTGAGATAACCACCAGCACTTGGGATTAAGAGTGGGTGCCGCCACTGCCCAGCTCCTAGGTGACACTCTTGTTAACATAAACCAATAAACGGTGAAATCTTGTTAACATCTGTCTATGGATGGTGACACCTTGTTGACAGGTATTTCTGAATGCTAACATCTTATTAACTGTTATCAATGAATGGAGATACCTTACAATCTATGGATGGTGACATCTTGCTAAGAGCTTTCTATGAACGGTGACACCTTGTTAGCATCTACTTCATACATGCACACACCACAGACACAAGTATGCCAACCTCTTGGGTAGTGTGAAACACCTCTTAGAATGCTCATACTTTGTTATCTTTGGAAAGACCAGCATCTTCTATGCAGCTGTTTCTTTCCTGGATCTTTGAAGAACTCGGTGGAAGTGTCAGTGGAAATGTTACAAATACCAGAAGGCTGATGCCTTGCATGTATTGCATGTTAGAATTAAAATTAAAGAGCCATGGGTTTGGGGAGATGGCTCAGAGGTTAAGAATTCACACTGCTCTTGCAGAGGACTTGAGTTTGGTTCCCAGCATCTATGTTCTGTGGCTCACAACTGCCTGTAACTCCAGCTCCAGAGGCTCTGACACCCTGTTCTGGTCTCTAGAGGCACTCATGTGCACAAACCCATACTCTTCTGAGTATCACACACACACATATATAATTAAGAATAAAAATAAGATCTTATATATCATTCTGTAACTCTGGAAAAAGTAATTTATATTCACAGATTTTTCCCTCTCAAATTTAGAGTGAGACTATCACAAACTACCCTAACACTACCAGGTCGAGGAGAATTTTCTATGGTCTAGCAAGGCTTGCTGCCATTATGGTAATGGAAAGCATAACCTTCAGTGCTCAACTGATGCAATACAATGCTACTGCTTCCCAGAAACAAAGATGCCCTAAAGATGTACTGGCTAGACCTCTAGATGCCTTGACAACTTGATAAAAAGCTAAACATAACTACACAGCATAGGGAAGATGACCAGAAACACCTTCAGCCAGCAAAGCCTTGGAGCTCTTAACCCTTAGCCAGCAGGTCTTTGGTATTAACCTTCTACTCACTCTTGCAGCCTGGCAGACTAGCTGCCTATCCCATTCTCATTCTGTGTTGGAGCATAAGTACACATGTAAGATCCTAAGAAGAAATCAGCCTTTAGGATTCCTCAGTCCTGCTGTACACAATTCAAGACCATGTTTGAGGTGAGCCTTACTGACTGTGGTGGTCTGAAAGAAAGTGGCGCCCAAAGGGAGTGGCACTGTTAGGAGGTGTGGCCTTGTTGGAGGAAGTGTGTCACTGTGGGGGTGCTTTGAGGTCTTTTTTTTTTTTTTCAAGCTTCACTCAGTGTGACAGTTGACTTTCTGCTGCCTCTAAGTCAAGATGTAGGACTTTCAGCTCTAGCACCACACCTATCTGCCTGCATGCTGCCATGCTCCCCATCCTGATGTTAATGGACTGAACCTCTGAAACTGTAAGTGAGCTGCCTCAATTAAATGTTTCTATTTATAAGAGTTGCTATAATCATGGTGTCTCTTCACAGCAATAAAAAACCCTAAGGGCCTGGCCTATTACAATAGCAGAAGAATATGCACTAACCTACACACCGGAACCACACTGAGGCCCAAATTGGAAACGGACACTAGCCAGGCTCCCACACCTTCACCACGCAGTCTTTTTCCACCTCTTTGCAACATGTAAAAGAAAAACTGATACCACTCACTACATTTCTCAGATGAAAATATTATTAGTTTCCAACCAATATACCATAAAAAAGCAGTCATCACCCAAATTCCATGCTAATTTACCAGTTATAAGTATCCAGTTATAAAAACTAAGGAGACAATGCTATCATGGAAATAACTTTAAACATTCCATAATGTATTAGAGTGTTTTCTTCTTGAAAACAAGTTTTCATTAAGAAAGTTTAAAGGACCAATTAGAGTATTTCCAGTATGCAACTGCCCTAATGACCTTAAAAAAATAAATTTACATCAAACACTTGTAAATGGAAGAATGGAGGGGAAAATGACGTTACCACTTCCTGAGATGCGTATTGAGGGTCCTCCGGGTTGACTGACCAATAGCAGTAATCAAAGCCAAATGCCACAACCTTCTCCCGGGTGTCTCCAAAGTTCTCTGGTCGACTGCTCACCTGAAATTAAACACAGCACCAGTGTGTTCCCTGTCATGTCATTGGAATCTGGACAGTGGCTCTTGACTATGCTCTCTGATAATTACAGAGACCTGGACTAATACTATAATGTTTATGACAGCCACAAAATAAGAGAGGTAACATCTGGCTCCATCTCACTAGGAACAAATAAAGGCCCAGGAACTAAATTATGCCTATTACCAGAGCATGTGTCTGCATACACATACCTGAGCTATAGGACAGCTCAGGAGAGAAAGTCTCTTTTAATGGACATCATCAGCATCCATTTCTTCCCTAAGTGTTTCTGCACAGGATACTGACAGCATGAGGAGCACAGTCCCTGGGTCCAGTGTATATTTCATCCACCTGGAGCTTTCATTGAGATCCTTTAGGCATCTACCCTCATCAACTTGGAAATAGTATTAAATGGAACAACCGGGAATAATCCAATGGCTGAAGGCAAATGAGAACAGGGCTGAAACTTGGAACTGTGCTGAGCTCTGGGTACTGCAAAGAATGGCTAGTATTCTTCACAGACATGCCTAGTCAAATATTTAAATTTAAACATTGGCATTTGGGTAATAATGATCTCCCTATGAGAAAATGCCTCTTGCCAGGAGAAACTCTTTCATCCTCTCCAGAGAGAAGAAACTCAAGAATGGACACCTGGTGCACATCCCAAATTCCTAGTTCATGGGTGTAAAATGGCCAGGATACTACAAAATCACCACAGTCTGCAGGTATGCACAGCTTACAGAGGGATGCTCCTTGAGGATGTAGCACTAAGAGTGCCCAAATCAAGGTGAAGGGGAAAATATACCCCGAAAACACATTTTAGACAAGAAAAAAGTTTGAAAGGGGAAAGGCAACTCTGACATTAGCCATTCAAAAACTACAGAACTTGGATGTCATAATGAGTAAGAGCTTCTTGGTGGATAGCTGACCTTAGGGAAGTCAACAGCTAGGGAGGTGTGTAGAGGGCAAACGAAAGTTTGTTCTTGGGGGCTTGAGAGGTGGTTTAGAGGTTAAGAGCAATGGCTGCCTGTCCAGAGGACCTGGGCTTGGTTCCCAGCACCCAGATGGTAGCTCATAACTACCTGTAACTCTGGGCCTGGGGATCCGGTGCCCTCTTCCAGTCTCCTAGGGCACTAGGTATGTATGTAATAAATAGACATACATGTAAGCACAACACCCTTACATATAAAACAATAAATATATTTTTTAAAAGTTTGCTTTTAAAATTTTCTCTTGGGCAAACTATTCTCTAGACTCAAAATATGAGATCTTACAATGAAACAAGTGAAGTGACTAGCATAAGAGATAAGCAAGAGAAGGCAGGGAATAAACGGTCCTTGTTCCCCAGGACTCATTCTCTTTTAATGAGAGCTAATGACAAGAGGAGACAAATCACATCACAGAAGTAACAATCTAGATAGCCTTCACTCTGCCTCTGCTTCCTCAGTTCTTGGAAATGCTGGCTTTACATCACAAGCTAATGACAGCATTTGTCGTGTGGTCACCTCCCTGGCTTCTTTCCACAGCTCAAGGTCCACAAAAGAAGAACCTGTTCATCTTCCTAGTCAGGAAGGATGGAGGAAGTTGACTCTGGAGGGTGGGTTAAGAGGAAGGGAAGGAAGTTCCTTGTGTCTGTCCAATTGTGCTCCAAAGTTGTGCAAAATAAAATCTGCCACAAGATTTAGACTAGTGACCACTAACTTCCTTCTAGGTGTAAGACTGATGTCTGACATCTGGACCACATTATGTCCAAATACTAAAATTCCTAATAATGCCCTGGATAAAGTACTATCAGTTGAGAGGCTCAGGATGAAATTTAACTGGTGGCCAGGTGAATTACATAGACATATAAATTGCCCCTCACATGAGTGAGCTAATCATAACCCGTATTACACACCCTGGTTTTAGCTTCAAAGCAGCTACTATCAGTTTCCAAAACAGCTGCACTATTCTATTTAACAGCATGGGACTACAACACCCCATTTTCTGGACTCTAAGCATAATTCTTTTCTTGTTTATTTACTTTATGATTGGCTTAGGCTTTTCCCACAATCCTCTTACATCCACTGCTCACTAATATATTAAAAATATTCACCCCAGAGACCCTTTTAATGACAAAAATTCTTATCTAGAAAACAAAACACAACTTTAGGCTTACCTTTACATTCCTGATTTTTGCCACTTTGTCATCAACTTCCACAATAATTCTTCCCCCTTCTTTGATCTCCCTAAGAAATAAGAACAGAATTCAAATAAGAAACACTTTTTTTGTTTTGTTTTGTTTTGTTTTCTGAAGACAGTCTCAGGTAGTCCATGCCTCAAATTCACTCTCTAGGCAAGAATGACTTTGAATTTCAGTTCCTCCTGCCTCTTCTGCCCAAATGCTAGAATTACAGGCATGTGCCACCACATCTGGCACCCACTTACACACACACACACACACACACACACACACACACACGAAGGGAAAAAAAAAGATATTAGTTTTCTTACTTCTGTCCCTGTTCCAGTAAGTGGAATGCCTGTCTCCATAAACAGCTAAAAGCATATAAAACTCCCTCAAGGGCTAATTTCCTGATCACACACTTTGACTCCGGAATCACTAACCTTCACCTCCACTTATTTTGGTGATCTTCAATGTATAAAGCTTGGGCTAGATGGTTTTAAAGGTTCCCTCACAAGTACAGCATCAGTGCTTACAATTTATCTGAATGCTGGGACAGACTACATAATCAGCAGATTCCCCACAAATAAAACAGCATCAATGGACAGTAGATACCACCACCATATTTGCAGAATTCTGTGGAAATTGAAGAATGGTCTGGTCTGAATGTCTTAGCTGAGATCACACTGAGTTTTTACATAACTACCCCCCCATCAGTGATTGTGAATCTGAAGCCAGCTAAAAATCAGCTAACACCTGGAGATCAGGAAGCTTGACAATCTACCACTTACTCTCAAGCCTCTTCACTGGAGATAAAAGTAAACACGTTTCTGGTTGTTTTTCATTTTTGTTGGATGAGATATGTTATTCCCTGCAACAACTGCAAATAACACAGAAGTTTCAACATCATTTTCTTAATCTATTCCATGCTCTTTGAAATTCCTGGTTTCCAAGGAACTAAAAAGTTAAGAGTGGTCAATGCTGCTATCCTAAGAACCCTAAAAAATAGTTGGGAAAGAACGAGATCTACCAGCAGCTACCTCCTCCTGGACAGCAGCTACTCCCAGGAAGCCCCCAACCCTGAGCCACCACATGAAGTTATGCAAAGTGAGATATTTACAAACTAACAGTCCTGTAGTCCAGACAGGCCTCCAACCACAGAGATATCTGCCTGCCTCTGACTCCCGAGTACTGAGATTAAAAAGCGTGTGCCACCACCACTGGCATGAGTACACTCTTTTTACCTGTTCCTCCTATCTCACAGTTCTTATTCTGTCAAAACTTTTCAAAGCAAATGGTCTCTACAAGGACAAACTTAGCCCTCATAGTACTATTTCTGTCATAGGAGACAATGCCTTTCTTGACCTCTATCTCCATTTACCATCGTGCGCACTGGGCATTTAAGTTTTCTTTTCTACAAAAAATTCCAATACATGTCATCTGGTCTAGAACCACACTCTTGCCAATTTTATCACTTATCACTCACTTGCTTCATTCCAAGCACATGTTCAAGGCTTCCGTCTATATCCAAACATCCTAAATTCACGATCCCTTCCTGTTCTTACTTTACAGATCATTCAGAACAGTTCAGACATCAACTCTCGTACAAAGCCTTCTCTGACTTCCCAGGTGAGTGGAAGAGGCTGAAATACGCAGCTCCACACTGGATGCCTCAAGGGTTGAGAGGCTCATGCACAACAAACTAGCACTGAGGAGTAACTTCCCCTTCCCCCATGCCACAGTTGTTCTTAAATCATGTCAGCTGTTGAACACAAACTGAAACCACAGTCTCTCTGGGCCTCAATTTCCCTCCCATATCCTGACAATTCTTTTCCCATGTTCCCACAGTGGAATCCCACGTGTATTTAGGAGAACACACCCTCCAGTCCTCACCCGGTTACTCCTGCGACACCGCGAGGAGTGGAGACTGCCCATCCCTTTGTACCTTCCCACGTCAGGGTGCATGAGAAGGGCCCTACTAAGTGCACCAAGACCTGAGCCAGGGTCCCTAGAAACTCTTGTTGGCAAGATGCCAGGGACGTGCACACAGGTCAGCGACCCCTGAAGTCTGCTAGGATGCGAGGCGAAAGCTCAACTTGAAACCCTGTCCCTCCGGGCCTTCATGGCTTCTGGACCCTGAGCCCTCGGGGCACTTTGAGTCTGTTTTTCCTCCCCGCCAGTCCACCGAGCAGAAAGCGGGGTCTCGGTCTCCTCTCAGTTCACTTGACGCCTCAGGTGCCCCCTCCTGCCAGACTCACCGCTTGCTGAGAGGCCGGACCCTCAGGGCCACCCGCACATTCGCCATCCCTCAGCCACAGCCCAAGACCCGCACAGCGGTCCAGCGGAAGCATGCCTGGACAGCGTCCAGCGAAAAGACCCAGCCACAGGCACGGCAACAACCACAGACTGCCCCGCCCGCCCCACGCGCCTCGGGGCTGCAGTCCCGGCCTCGCCCGAGGGGCGGGGCCCCCTGAGCCTCCGCCAGTTCTGACTAGAGTGGGCGGGAGCACGCACGGTCCGCCCCGCCCCTCTCCCTCGCAGCTCCCCGGACGCTCCCGCCCAAGTCTGAGCCACCGCCCAGCAGGGGCGGAGCTCTCCCAGCCTTGGCCAATCCTGAGACAGGTGGGGTGGGCTTCCTCGCCTCGCTCCACCCTTTCATCTCTCTCCCTCGCAGCTCCCCGGACGCTCCCGCCCAAGTAGGAGCCACTGCCAGACAAGGACCGGGCCGCCCAGCCACCTGCCAATTCTGAGACAGACCCTCACACACCTCCTCAGACGTCCCCCCCCCCACCGCTCTCGTGCGCGTTCCGCGGCACCTCCTCTGTTCTAAGATTTGGTGACAAAGTTTTTGCTTATTACTTGAAAGTTCATGAATTGTCAAATACTGTTTTTTACCCTGTTGGTCTGAGATGTCAAAACAGCTGCTAAATTTTAGGAGCAAAATGAGGTGGAGGCTGAGTCAGAAAATTGTGAGTTCAAGGTCAACCTGGGCAGTACATGGTCATTTGAGGCCATTCTGGAGTGCAGCATGAAATCCTGTCTCAAAACAATGAAATGCACAAAATAAATGAGTGTTTACAGAGGAGAATTTTTTTTTTGTTTCGTTTCGTTTTCTAACTTACTGGCAAGTTTCTCTTTACTGCCTTGGAACTTCACTGCCACCCTAGCAGTATTTGTAATACAGAGTAAATGTTGTCTGGTCAGAACCGTTTACACCTGTGAAGCCTGAAGGCCCGTTAGAAGGTGAAGGAACTCAAACCCATTCCTGCCCAGTAGTGCTGATGAACAAACACTGAGTTCTAGCATCGGGGAGTTCCAAAAATAGCTACATAGGAAGTTCCTGTATCACACAACAAAAACAGAAACTAGTGTCTGTTTCTGATGGAGACAAATTTGTGTTCACTGAAGACTTCTGAATCTTCATGCATCATGATTAGAGAGGGGTGGGTGCGGTGTTAGCCATTGTTGATTAAAGACAAGACAAAAACACAATAAAACAAAGCCTCTTCCCTCATGGGGATTGGAATTATACGGAAAAGAAAATAAATACCATGGTGGTGCAACATGGTGGAAGACACTGAGTGCAAGGAAAAACAAAAAGGAATAAAGGAAGATGCTACTCTATACGGACTCTGAGCAAGCAGTCACTGATAATGGTGACATTCTAAAATATCTGAGGAAAGCAAGGCTGGGCAGTCATTCAAAGACTATTTCCTACCATTTCTTAAGTAAGCCTCTATTAAGGCAGGAAATGTTATATGCAATAAGTACATATCAGCCTGGTAAAACCTCTGACCTCATAGAGCTGGGAATGGGTAAAACAATTTAAACATACAGCAAATTAGCTAAAGGGTAAAAAGTAATGGATGGAAAAGGAGATGGAAGTGAGTAGAAAAGGGTAATGAAATTAAAATGCAATCAAGGGAGGTCTTAATGAAAACTTACAAAAAGCATGAAAGTTGCACAGAAAACAGGATCAGTAAGTCATGGTGGGTGAAGGGGTCTGTGATCAGGGTCCTGCTTCAGTGGGATTGGTCTGAGTTCCATGTTAGCATGGACCGAATAGCAAGACCTGGTATCCAAGCAAGAAACTAAAAGTTAAGCTGATGTGTGAAAGGGCAGACACAGGGAGAAGGTCAAGGTGAAGCCCCCTGTCTGCTGGCACCTAAGTGGGGGCAGATGGACAGGCAGAGTCAGCATGAGCCATGGTAGTCTCTGGATTTTATTCAGTGAATTGGGAAACCATAGGAAAGTTTGGTAGAAAAGAGTAAAATTGTTTTCATTTTCAAATTTTTTATATTTATGTGTGTGTGTGGGGGGGGAGTTTGCCATTTGCAGCAGAATGTGAGTGGAGAGCAGGGATGTCATACTTGACTTTTAAATCAAACACTGTCTTTGGGAGTTGAGACCAGCTGGGCTTGTTGACTGTTTACATCCCCTTATAGAAGGTAGGGAAGTTCATGGGAATGGCACCTGGGTATTCGGCAACTCTGTACCATCTACTGTATGTAATTCTGCTCTAATTGCACAAACCCTTGGGGAGAAGCTAGAGTACATGGAGGGGGTTAGGGAGAAAGTGAGGTGTCCCGCATCTATGCAGCCATCATTCCTGCTGGAAATAACCCCTCACCCATCTCTTTAATAAGGAAATCCAATAAACTTGTTGGTTCCCCAGAGTGAACCCATGCTCTGTCATTGGGGACTTAGGAGAGATAGACATTGCCTATGCCATCCTCTGATTTCTTATTTTAGCAAGAACAACTTACCATTTATGTGGGGTACCAAACTCGGATCTGCAGGTTTGGTGACCAGTGAGTTCCTTTACTGGCTGAGGCCCTGGTTTATAGCTTTAAAAGATTTTTCTGGCCGGTTTTCAGACTAGTCTGAGAAGTGAGGAGTGTAGAAGCCCAGAGAGATCAGTCAGGCGGCTACTTTAGTATTCCAGTAACAGAACCAGGGCAATGAGTCATGTAGGTTCCTTTTTCTTGTCCATTTGAAAGTACCAATAAAGCAATTTACTAGATAGCTGGCTTACAATTTAGACTCACTTGAAACCCCAGTATCCTGGATAAGATCTCTATTCATGCTGAATGAAAACTGCTGCTGGACTGATATTTCTTTCTTCAAGCTATAAAGCATGACATAATTGGAACATCATAATTTTTTAAAACTATTGTACTCAATGCTCAGATGCAGCATAGTTGGTCAAGTGTATGCCTAGTATACACAGAGCTCTGGCTAGGTTCAAATCCCAGAATGGCAGAAATAAAACACACTGTTATCCCAGCATTAATAAGGATGAGCAAAGTCCAGGCCAGCCTGGGCTAGATGGGACCTTGTTTCAAAAACACAAAACAACAACCCCCCCAAACTAAAACAAAAAAGCCCACCTCATAATTATTTTAATGTGTATTTTTGATATATAATACTATTGTAACAACCAAGTATATTGATTCCTTAATGGCATCAAATATTCAGAGTCTTGGTTTCTACCCCTCTTCACACCCTTCTCTGAATAAATCCTAATTTTGCTTCATTAAGAGAATACATACAGGTAAGAGGAATAAACTCCAAAGTTTTGTTAATGTTTTTCCAGGCAGCCTAGCCTGGGACTCACACTTGTGATCTTTCTGTCTTGGCATCTCAACTATTAGGACTGTAGGCCCTGGGTTTGCTCCTCAGCACTACAAATTATACATTCACACTTACTTGAGACTGAATCTTTTTTTTTTTTTTTTAATTTGTGTCATATTCAAATTCGTGCATGTGTGCTCAGGAGCACATGGAGACCAGAGGTAGACACTGGGTATCTCTCTCACTCTTTACTGTCTTCCTCTCACTGTATCTGATCAGCTCTGACCAGTTTGGCTAGATAGGCTGGCCAGCAAGTCCCAAGAATCCTCTCTCTGCCTCCCTAACGCTAGAATTACAGAGATGTGCCTGGCTTTTTACATGGAGGCTGGAAAATCTAAATTCAAGCCTTCATACCTTTATGGAAAGCACTTTGCTGACAGAGCCACCTCCCCAAACCCCTACTTAAAACTTTGTGTGTGTGTGTGTGTGTGTGTGACAGTGTCTGTCTATATAACCCTGACTGTGCTGGAACTCTACTCAGAGAAATCCATCTGCCTCAGCTTCCCAAGTGCCCAAGTGCTAAGGCCCACCACACCAGGTCCCCACCCCCTTTTTTTTTTTCTTTTTGCCTTAATGTAAGGTCTGTAAACCTTGTCAGAAGGCTGGTGGATTACCCAGGGACTGAAGTTTCAGATAGCTGTAAGCCACCATATGGGGGCTGGGATTCAAACTTGGTTCTTCTAGAACAGCCTGTGCTCTTAAACCTCCAAACCACCTCTCCAATATCTTTTATGTGAATTCATTTGTTTTGCAAGCATCTGAGAAAATCTCACAACATGTTAAGTCATTACAATATAAACTGTATTATGGTTCTTCCCCCTCTCACTCTCCATACTATGGTTTCTTCCAGTCAAGGAATTTCTTAGCTCCTCTTGTCCCTCAGACATCCTTTCTGACTTCTTGAAACTTTGAAAGACAAATGAGAACTGAATGTGGCAGTCACAGACCCAGAGAAAGTAGTAAGTAAAAGGCAACAAAAGCTAGGAAGAGTCTTCCCACACAGCCTTTACAAATTGACATAATCATACTGGAATCACATTTACAAATTTTGTCAACATGCTTGCCTGACATCCCATCCCATCCCCAGAAGCCACTCAAAGGTTTTCTGTTGCTGAGCCTGCTTGCTCCTTAAATTATTTTTAATCTCTGCATGTGCAGGACGGTAGTCATAGGGAAGCTATGACACATGAATGGAATTCAGAAGACAAACTTGGATGTTAGTTGTCACCTACTTGACAGGGTCTCTTGTGTGCAGCTGCATATAAGAGGCTAGCTGGCTCTCCCTTTCGCCTCCCATCTCACTTTAGGGAGTCCAGTTTTATGGGGATTCTGGGGATTTGAACTCAGGTCCCCACCCTTACATGGGGATTTCTACTCACTGAGCCATCTCAGCTCCTGCCTGTTTTCTTGACCTTTAATTCATTTCTTTCTCTTCTTATCCATCTTTATAGTCCATCAACTACAGAGATCTTCAGCTTGCCTGCCCTTGAGTTTCACAAAAATAGAAACAAACATTTGTTCAAACCAGACACAGTGACATATGCCTGTATTTCTACAACCTGGTAAGCTAAGGCCAGAGGATTGTTGAATCCAGCCTAAGTAACATTTAGAAAAAAAAAAAAACAAAAAACAAAACAAAAAACTGATTTTCTCTCCCTCCTAGGTAACTGTTTTCTATAGTCTGAGACTCACTCTATTTCTTGCTCTTACAAACAAACCAGCCTTCATTGAATTAGTTTTTCTTTTTACATTAGAATTTAGGTTAACTTAACTTAAGCTTTTGTGAGTTGAATAGCTTGAATGTTTATACTATGTTTTTCTTTCTGTTATTTGATATTCATATTAAGCCACACTTAATTGAAATTAGTATATTTTTACATCTTGAGGCATTAATAGGAAATAAAAATACAAAACCACCAGGGATATGGGAACATGATAATATACATACACAAAAAAATCATATAAGAAAAATGACTAGATGTTGAAAGAGATTTGAGACAAAATACAAATAAGGATTTTGAGTTGTCTGAGTGATATTCAAAATCTCAACACTACTCTTTTATGGTACATTTGTAAAAGCTGTAGACTTTTTCAAAACAAAGATCTGTTGTTTTGACAGGGTCTTTTTTGGGGTGGTGGGTATGGCTCCTGTTTTTCATGAACATCTATCTACTTTATTATCAACAGGTGAAATCTTGTATTAAGAATCTGATGAACATAATGTTCGCTAAACTTCCATGACACAGAAGATAACAGTATGGAAAACAGAATCCCAGTTTAAACATAAGCCAGAAGTACTTACAGTAACAATGTAAATAAGAACATCTTGAGGCAGTTCTTACTATCTCTACTTTAAGTATACTAGTCTCTATTTTATGAATAACCCTTAGTAAGTAGGATATATCATATTTTTCATTACAAACCTCTACACTTTAGCCAGATGTGATAACACATATCTGGGATTCATGCTCTGGGGAGGTTGAGGCAAGAAGGATCATGTGTTTGAGACCAGCTTTGGCTACATATAAAAATTATCAAAACAAAAAATTTCTAAATTTTACCACAATATGCCCCCCCATCACCCCTTGAATCATTCTTCTTCGCCTGTCCCAAGGCTGCTAGCACACATCGTGAGAGCATAACTAGGTTCAGTGATCTGTTAATAGGACTTTTTTTTTTTTTTTTTTTTTTTTTTTTTTGGTTTTTTAAGACAGGGTTTCTCTTTATTGCTTTGGAGGTTGTCCTGGAACTCGCTCTTTAGACCAGGCTGGCCTCAAATTCACAGAGATCTGCCTGCCTCTGACTCCCAAGTGCTGGGATTAAAGGCATGAGCCACCAGTGACCACCAGATATATAAGACTTCATGTCATCACACTCACACTGAACTGTGACACTGGGAAATGCTGCCTACCACGAAAATTGTTATGGATGTGTGCTCCAGATTTTTTTCAGGGACGAGTAACAAAGGTACTTTCTGTTTGGTATGTACCAATATCCTAGACTCTCAGGAGGGAAGCAAGTGTCCCACACAAACCACATTGCACAGCCTGGTCATACTGAGGCCTTCTCATTCTCCTATTACATAAGTTTCTAGATGTACCAGCCAAGGAATGACACCTTATCAATCCTTCAAAGGGTAACAGGCCTGCTGTGGAACTATTCTGCAGTCTCTTAGGATTAATCACCACAGAAATTTTCAGACTCAGGAATACTCCTATGTTATGAATAAGTTTTCCTGCCGGTCTGGTCCCACAGCCGTACCAACCCCAAATAACACACAGAGATGCTGTATTAGCTATAATGTTGTTGGCCAGTTAGTAGTTTCTTATCTGCTAGCTCTGTCTTAAATATTAACCCATTTCTATTAACCTAAGTATTTCCAAGTGGTCTTATCTTACCAGAGGGGCTGGCGTTCTGTTTTCCCCATCCTACATGTTGAATCTCTTCCCTACTACCTCCTGCATCCTCGTCTCCTAGTCCTGCCTATTTTTGGCCAACAGTGCTTTATTCATTAACCAATAAGAGAAACATGTTTACAGAATGACATCTCCCATCACTCCAATTCAGAAATGTTTTTAAAAGAGATACAGAATCATGATACAGAATCTGCTGTCTGAAGAATGTTCAATTCACTTATAATAAGCTATCATACATATATTTGATCTTCTTTAGCTTTACTAAAAAGAGTAAAAAATATATGAAAACAAAACCAAACCAAACAAAAAAACCTATGTGGATCCCAGGGATTGAGCCCAGGGATTGTCAGTCTTGAAGCAGGAGCTTTTCCCTGCTGAGACATCTCTCTGGTACTCCAAAATTCAGAGGGCTTTTCCAGTGTTTCTAACAACAAAGCCTATCAATATCCTTGTTACAATCACCTGAAAATAGACTTCTTTGACTACACCTAATTAAACAAAAGGAAAGATGGTTATCACTTGGCATTAACAGTTTGGGCATGAACTTTATAAACAAAAGGTAAAGGAGGCACTATATCAAGTTTGTGAAGATAATTTTCTTCACTTAGTATTTTGGGGATACACAAGGAAATTTCCTTCTGTTGTTCTCTCCACTTGAGTATATCCTCTGACAGTTCTTCTGTCTTGTTCACCAAAATATCCATCTGGGCTAGTGCCTTGCTCTATAACATTTGAAATAAAGAAAAATAGAAAAAAAAATGTTACTAATTACCATTATGTCAAAAAATAGATGAAAAACTAATATCTGTTCTTTCTCTAGTTCCTTACTACAATTCCTTAAAACTTTTCCCCACCCAAACACACACACACACACACACACACACACACACACACACACACACACACACAGACAAACACAGAGCTACCTTCTTTCTGTAAGTTCACTTCTCCTTTATCACCAATTTTAAACTTGACGCAAATAACCTCAGGCTTTATCACTATACTGGCTGGTTTGGAATTCTTGGTAATCCTCCTACTTTATCATCCCCAGTGCTATGTGTACAGGCATGTGTGTGTACTAAAGTTGTCTTAAACTGACTCTAAAGGTGTAGGGTGATAAGAGTCTGCAATTCTGCAATTTTCTTTCCTTCTGGTGCTGGGGATAGAGCAAAGGCCTTTTACACACTAAGAAAGTACTGTAGCAAGCTGATCCTTGCCCAAGAAAGTCTGTACTTCTAACATCTTCCAGATAATAATGATCCTCTCTATACATACTTTGAGTGGCAGGGCTCAATCTAGTTTATCCATTATTTTCTCCATGAGTAAAGCATAGTTCTGATCAATCTACTACCTTAGCCAAAGTGGAAACTACTTTCCCCTGAAGCTATCTGTGCTCTCTGTTCATAACTTCCCCACACTATTGATTTGGCCACATTAGTCTCTCTGACGCATGTTCAAACTGATTCTTCAAACTAATTCTGAAAACTTTCTAAAATCTTTCTATGACCTATCCTGTTCCCAGTCCCCTGTCCCAAAAGTAGTCTTTCCTGTGATAAACAGATAGCAACTCCTAATAATTTTACTTTATACTTACACAAATGCAATCCTATGAAGTAAAAAGTATGTATCTTGCTAGGAATGGTGGCATATGTTTAAAATCCCAACACTTGGAAGGCCAGAGGCAAAAAGTGAGTTTGAAGCCAACCTCAACTATATAGCAAGACTGGGGGGTGGGGGTAGGAGGAGGGAACCAGATGGGAAGAAAGTAAAAAAAAAAAAAAAAAAAAAAAAAATAGAAATGATGTCACAGTAATTTTTTGTTTTGTTTTGTTTTTGAGACAGGGTTTCTCTGTAGCTTTGGAAGCTGTTCTCAAACTCTCTCAGTAGACCAGGCTGGCCTTGAACTCACAGAAATCTACCTGTTTCTGCCTTCCAAGTGCTGGGATTAAAGGTGTGCTCTATCACCAACTGGCAAAGTAATATTTTTTTAAGTTTCTTTTTGCTTTGACATAGAATCTCATTTTGACCTTAAGCTAGTCTGGAACTTAGTAAATAGTGCAGGCTAGCCCCAAACTCCACAACAATCTTCTTCCCGCACCCAAGTACTAGAATTATAGGCGAAGAGCACCATGCTTAGTTAAGAAAATGTTTCTTTTGTTTCATGATTTTAATAATGACTAACTCAAAGTGAAATCAGCCAAGCTCAGAAAGACCAACACCACAAGATTTGTCTCATATGTGTATTCTATATTTGAATTGTGGGTCTGTGTGTCATGAATGTAAAACAAACAGTGAAAGGAGAGGAGGACATATTAAGGGATGAGGGGAGGGGTAAAAAGAGTAATAGGATACATGTGATATGCAAATAAAAGGAGACACTATCCAGAGGAAGTGGGAGGGCCAGGAAGAACTGGATGGAAGAGATAGCAGCAGATGAGAACATAATAGAACAAAGGGTAATCACACATGCATATAAGAATATCATGATGAAATGCATGGCTTGATTGTTAATTCAGGAGTCTGAGGCCAGCCTAAGCTTTGTGAGACTATCAAAAAAAAAAAAAAAAAAAAGTTAAATGGGAAGGTCACACAGCTGAGATTTTAGTATAAGAACTAAGGACAGCTATATTAGTATTACTTACCATTTTCTTTAGGTTTGTATCTAAATGAGGGATATTTCTAATTGTTTCAAGATTGTTTTCCAACTTCTCGATGAAAGTCACAGCCAACTCCAACAAATGTACCATATATCTGAAAGACAGTGTATGGTTGAGTGTAAATTTGTCCCACAGGCTCCGGTGTTTAAATACTTGGTCCCAATCGGGCGATGCTGCTTGGGGACTTATTGGGAGTGTTGGGACACAGGCACTAGTTGATAGACATAGATAACTACGGGCAGTCCTTGAAGGCGCTTTCCAATTTCTGATCCATTAAGATGTTAGCAAGCCCTTCCACAATCCTGCCACCACAGATGGAGTTGCACTAGCTGTAAGTATTACAGCTCTGAGGGGAAAGGGTTCCTCAAGGGAAGTGTCACAGCCCTACAAATGAAGATTTCCCTACTGCTGGGGGAGTGGAGGGTAAGATGTTCCCCCAATGCAAGTGTTAGAACTCTGAAGGGGAAGGTAATCAGGAGTCAAGAACGACTACAACACTACATATAGCACACAGACTTCACACGATTTGTAGGGAAAAACTCAAGAGGGTAACTGCTTCTACTAGGGTAAGGGGTAAGAAGCAGCAGAGAACTGAGCAGAAGACAGGGTTTACATAACATTTCTTGGGGGTGGGGTTTTCTAGAGTGGGTTTACAAGTCCAGGGCATTAGAGTATTCTGTGGGCAGAGCCTGGTGGAAGTCCTCAGGGGCAGGGACCATCCACTTGAACACCAGCCACAATGCCTTCCCTACAATGTTGGATGTGCTACCTGTAAACTGTGAGCCAAAATAAGCCTCTCCCCAATTAAGCTGCTTCTGTTAGGTGACAGTGGTTAGAAAAGAAAAGCAATACACAGAGAAAAGGAATTAGCTTTTCTTCTTTTTTTAAATATTTATTTTGTGTGTGGGGGTTTTGCTTGCAATTGTGTCTGTACACCACATGGAGGCCAGAAGACATCACTGAATCCTCTGGAACTGGAGTCACTGAAGAGTGTAAGTTGCCATGTGGGAAGAAGAGCTAGTGATCTTAACAGCTGAGCCATTTCTCCAGGCCCTTAACTTCTCTTCTTTAGTTGTTTGGCTTACTTAGTTAGGACTGTTTGAAATAAGCAAATCTAATTAACACCATTAATATTTTAATAGAATTATCAATTATGGTAAAAAGATTCTTCTCTATCACCTAAGGCAAAACTTAGATTGTCAATCCCCACCCCCCTCCCAAAAAAATGGGATGAGCCAGGCATCATGGTGCACACCTTTAATCCTAGTGCCCAGTGCTTGGGAGGCAGGGGCAGCTAGTCTACAGTCAAGTTCTAGAAGAGCCAGGGCTACATAGAGAAAACCTGCCTCAAAAGATCCAAAATAGAAAAAGAAAAATGGAAAGACACATTATTCATGATAACATCTGTTAGAAAACCCTCAGTGGAGCCAGAGGGTGGTGGCGCACACCTTTAATCCCAGCACTCCGGAGGTAGACGTAGGAGGATCTCTGTGAGTTCAAGGCCAGCTACAGAGTGAGTTCCAGGACAGCCAGGCAGCCAGGACTGTTACACAGAGAAACCCTGTATCCAAAAAAAAAAAAAAAAAAAAAAAAAAAAAAAAAAAAGAAAGAAAGAAAGAAAAAGAAAATCCTCAGTTAAAATAGGGTGCTTTATTCCTAGCACTTGGGAGGCAGAGGCAGGAGTTTCTGTGCTTTTGAGACCAGCCTGGTTTACAGAGTGAGTGTTAGGAATGCCAGGGGTTCATATGGAGCCCTATCTCAAAAAAAAAAAAAAAAAAAAAAAAAAGATGAAACCCCACAATCCACAATTGTTAGTAATAAACAAGCATCCTCACATAGAACCCCTTCCTTAGACAAAACCTCATATTGGTTCAGAGAACAGATCCAAGGAAAAATACTCAACTGATAAAGTACCACATAATTCCTTTGAATATGAATTGATAAAATCTTTGAGCTATATTAACAGTAGAAGTAAGAACAAAGTCCAGGTTTTTTTTTCTCATTCTTGACTATACAGCAAGTTTGAGGTCAGCCTACACAAGACTCTGTCCCCACCCAAAAAAAAATTGCTTCCAGGATCTCGTTACATAGTCCTGGCTGTACTGAAACTTATTATAGACCAGGCTGACTTCAAACTCAGAGATCAACCTGCCTCTGCCTGCTCAGTGCTGAGATTAAAGGTGTGCATCACGATTTCCAACTTCTGTTTTTGCATCTTTTAATATCTTTTCTTTGTTAAATTTCAACAAAAATGTTTATATGTATGTTTGTATATATATATATATATGCAATAATAAATGTATTTCATAGAAAACAGTCTATACCATGTAAACAGATTTTACCATGTTAGGGATCTAATACTTTTCATCAAACCATAATTTATAATTTTTAAAACACAATTGGCAAAACAAAGTCCTTTTCTTCCCAATTATAATCATTTAAAATCATTTAAAAACAAAGGGCACTTGCTAATATATCAATATTAATAATATTAATAAATATAATCACTAACATTGCTTTGTGAATTATGCTACAACTTAACTGTCAGTCTAAACAAAAGCCGTCTTAAAAAAGCATGCATAACTCTGCATTTCTGCTTTGTGCTCTGACCTGTGGTACATAGCTTCCACTGGCAAGTTCTCCTGGCATATGGGTCTCAGCAGTCTTTGCCGGATGGCCCGCCTCTCTTTCAGCACCGTTTCCAGATGACTGTTCATGCTTTGCAGAGTGTCACACTTCTCAACTACAGAAAGCAAAAATGGCTCCACAGTTAGCAACAGGACAAGCACATTTTAGAATCGCTAACAACTTCTTGCCTGGTGACTGCAGAGATGGCTCAGTGGTTAAGGCCTTTTCCAGAGGACCCACAACCATCTGTAATTCCAGTTCCAGGGGATCCTATGGCGGTGTGGAGCTGGGCATGGTAGTACATGACTTTAACCCCAGGATTCAGCAGGCAGAGGCAGATGGATCTCAGAAGTTCAAGGCCAGCCTGATTTACATGATGAGTTCTAGGCCATCCAGGACTTCATGTGAGACCCTGACTCGAAACAAAAAAAAAAAAAAAAAAAAAAAAAAAAAAACAAGAACCCTCCCTGCTGCAGAGTGCTATTATTTTACTACATTTTTAAATTTTTTATTTTTATGTGTATGGGTGTTTTGCCTGTATGTATGTGTGCACCTGGTGCCCATGGACATGGATTCCTCAAGACTGGAGTTACAGACAGTTATGAACTACCATGTTGGTGCTGGGAACTGAACCTGGGTTCCCTGGAAGAGCAGCCTGTGCTCTTAAGCAATGAGCCATCTCTCCAGCACATTACTTAAACTTTGCTTGCTTGTCCTTCAAAAAAATATACACAAAAACCTAGCTCTGCCTGGTTTCTGATTACTGGTTAGTTCTCTAGGAATGGGTGCTATGAAAGAGTAAGACTGATTTCCTAAATTAGTCTGGATTCTTGTCCTACAGTGCAATGCCTCTCTTGCCAAGAGCTCCAGTGCTGGACTAGCATCTACCATGTGGACTTCACCGTAGCTGAGCAATGTTCCTGAAAACCTCCAAAACTGTAAGTAAAATAAATCCTTTTTCCTTGTATGCTATCCAGCCTCAGGTATTTTCTTGTGGCAACAGAAAAAGAGATTAGGGCTGAGAGATGGCTCTGTAGTTAAGACCACTGCCTGCTCTTCCAGAGGTCTTGAATTCAATTCTTGGCAACCACATGGTGGCTCACAACCTTCCATAATGAGATCTGGTGCCTTCTTCTGGCCTGCAGGCATATATATATGTAAGCAATATACTGTATACATAATAAATAAATCCTTTAAAAAAAAAAGAAATGGAGATTAATAGAGGCATCAACCTGATCACTATTTTCACTAGTCAATTGGACTTGTTCCAAGCCAGCCAAGGGAATACAGCAAGAAAACAAAACAAAACAAACAAAAAACCCTGACAACATGTTATGGGACAATTCTTGGAAAAGGTTATGACATTAGAATTCTGCTGCCTGGTGTTTATATATAATAATTCAAGATCAAGCTGAAATCCTAATATTAGTCCCTTAAGCAAGTAACTTACCCAAATATGAAGGATGAATAAGATCTGCTGTATCCTTTTCTAGTTTTAGAAGTTCAATTTCTAGGTTGTTCTACATGAGAAACAAAAGAAAACTTTAGATCACTCAGAAAGTGACCTGAAGTTAAAGACTTAAAACACTGATAAAATGGACACGCTACAGAAACAGAGTATAACACACACACACATATGTTCCTTAAATGGGATGGAGGATAGTTTATATAAAAATCAGGGTAAGTCACAGGAGCCTTTCATTTTGGTATCTTGCTTTCCTTTATTACAATTAACTACTACAATAAGCACCTACCAGCCATGTATTAGGCACTGTTGTAATTTCAAAAGAATGCTATTTAAACCAATTAAAAGGCTTTTTGTTTGTTTTAGTTTTAAAATTGGGCATCAAACTCAGGACATCTTGTATGCTAATCATCCACATTTTCTCTGAACCACACCCCAGCATAGTACAAGTTTTTAAATGGAGACGTAGAATTGAAAAATCTCATAATTTACCTGGTAGATTTCAGCTTGAATATCTGAGATCTGCTGTAATCTGGAGAAGTTCACAAAGCAAGGAGCCATTTTCTTAGGTATGTCTAACATCTCCTATTGGTAAATGAAAAGGGAAAGCATAGTATGTTACAAAAGTATACACACTAGAATAACATATACAGGAGACAGAGGCAGGAGGATCTTTGTGAGTTAGAGGCCAGCCTAATCTACAGATTGAGTTCCAAGACAGCCAGGGCCACACAGAGAAATTCTCTCTTAAAAAAAAAAAAAAAGAAAAGAAAGAAAGAAAGAAAAGTAACATCATGTCCAAACTGCACCTAACACAAAGAACACATTAAAATGTAGCAACTATACCCTCTTTTTTTATTTTACTTTGATAAAGTCTAATATAGCCCAAGTTAGCCTTGAATTTGTTATACAGCCAATGGATGACCTTGAATTTCTGACCTTCAGAATTCTACTTGTCAAGTGTACAGCATAACACCAGGTTTTTTTGTGTGTGTGCACACACTGGAGCACATGTTTTGTATATGCATGCTCATGTACATGTGTATATATGTGCATTTATGTGGTGGCCAGAAATCAACATCTGATGTCTTCCTCTCTCGTTTCTCTGTCATACTTTTTGACCAAGTCTCTCACTGAATCCAGAACTCACCATTTAGAGGCAGGTAAATTAGGAAGAGATAGTTAGCCTAGGACTCTATTTGGATTTTGTTACATACAATATTCACTTGTAATAATGTGCTTGGCATACTAGCTCCTTTCCTTGTTCATACTAGGAACATGTACTTCTCTTTAAACAGTGCACATAGCATCCTCTAGAACTCCTCATTTGCATTGCACTACATGTACTCTCATCCCTGAACAGTAATATAGCAGTTACTCGGTCCATAAAGCTGGATGTCTCAGCTGGTCTTCAGTATTTGCCAGGATCATAAAGAAGTAGGCTCTAATGCCAGTGAAGGAATGAAGGTGCCAGCAAGCAGGCAAAAAGCACACCCTTCCTTCCTCCATGTCCTTATATAAACCACCATCAGCATGTGTGGCCCAGATTAAAGGTAGATCCTCCCACATCAAAAGATCAGATTAAAGGTGGGTCTTTCTACTTCAAATGATTTATTAAGAAAAATCCCAGCCAGGTAATGATTGCTCATGCCTTTAATCCCAGCACTTGGGAAACACAGGCAGGTGTTCTTGATCTCTGTGAGTTCAAGACCAGCCTGGTCTCCAGGACAGGCTCCAAAGCTACACAAGTGAACCCTGGTTTGAAAAACAAAGCAACATCAAAACAAAACAAAAAAAAGGAAAGTAAAGTCCCAAAACAAACAAAACAAAACCTTTGCCAGGCGGTCTTGATGTACACCTTCCTGTAATCCCAGCACTTGGGAGGCAGAGGCAGGTGAATTTCTGTGAATTTGAGGCCAGGCTGGTCTACAAAGCAAGCTCCAGGACACCCAGAGCTGTTATATAGAGAAACCTTGTCTCAAAAAATTAATAATAATAGTAATAATAAAAATAAAAAAACAAACTAAACCAGAGAGAGGGAGAGGGAGAGGGAGAAGGAGAGAGAGAGAGAGAGAGAGAGAGAGAGAGAGAGAGAGAGAGAGAAAGGAAGAAAAGAAAGGGGGAAAAAAAGGAAGGAAAAAGAAAATTTTTCAGGTGTGCCAAGCCTCTTGGGTTTAGTTAATTTCACAATGTAGTCAAATTGACAACCAAGAGCAGCATCACAAATCCACCCCTTGTTAACTTGACATGATATGCTTATGTCATGCTTAATTCCCAAATGAAAACAATAACCAAATCATAATTACACCTAATATGATACAACTATCCATGTACAACTGCAAAAGCACCATAAATTTTAGAACAGGTGGCAATACAGAGATATTCTTTTAGTATCTCAAAACTTAAATAAGATAACCACTGGTATTCTCTTAATTAACATTACATGATAAAGAAATCAAGGAAAGAAAACACAAACTTTCTTAACAAAATATAACAGAAACATTCAATTATAATCCCTGTTACTATAACTGGTATTTAAAATTACCTTCTTCTACTAGCCATTCTGTATGTCTTCTACATCCAACAAGTACCTCAGCAGGTTTTGGTTCTTTTCCTGCAGAAGTGATCCATACCTTCATATCTGATGGGTCTGTGCCCTTTGTCATCCTGCCTGGATTAGACTTTAATCACAGGTCATGGTAGTACCAGGAGACTCCCTAAAGGATCTCCTGTACTCCAGACATAATCTTTCTTACCTCCATCATGGAGAAGCAATCTAATTTCTCCTTGGTAATTTGGACCAATCACTCCTCCTTACACTGTTAGTCCTTTCTTAGCCTGTTGGCCTAAGGGCATCAGAAGCCTAAACTGACTATAGGGAAGTCAGAGATTCCAGTTCAATAAGTTTTGTTGTGTTTCCTGGCAGGAGGAACACTAGCTGCTTCGGAACCAAAAATTTTCCTAATGGGTCACTAAGCGTGATAATGAGTGAATTCCCACAATCTCTTAAGGGACCACAGAACTGAGAGGTTTTGTCAGCTGCTGCCTTCGTACTTGACCTGTGGGGCTTGAGATCACAGTCATGGGCTAAAGAGCACAGCCATGTACTACTTCCCAGAGTTGGGAGAAGGGGTAAAGGTGACTTTCTCTAGTACCCCTGCCATGTTTGGAAAGCTAAGTGGGGTGGAGCCAGCAGTCAAAGTTGACACTTTAATCCAAGCCTGTTTAACATTTTTAAAAGTCTCCTGATCAAAAAAAAAAAAAAAAAAAAAAAAAAAAAAAAAAAGATTACAGACAACACAAATGGGTAACAGTATGTGTGATAAGTATGCATGGGCTTGGGAGATAGAAGAGTCATAGATTAAAAAACTTTTTTTTTTTTTAATTTAAGGATAATAAACTGAGGTCCTTAAAGGAGAAACAGAATAATTAAAAAAATTATAATGGGCCATATAAAGATGAAAAATACACAAAAATTCTACTATTGTGTTTTCCTTGAATTTTTTGACTATTAAGGAGGTAACTACAGAGAGACATTTGATTGTGGGGGCTGCTAAGATAAACCAACATAAAGGTATGTTGACTTCAAAATTTGGGCCTAAGGATACGTTGCTTCGAAGAAGAGGTTCTGCTTCCCCTCCCCAACATATTGTTGTTAAATAAGGATCAGGATAAACAAATAGGCTGAATAGATGTGGTTAGGCAAGGGGACCCTGCCCGCTGGGGATGGTGGGGGAGGGGAGCGGCGTCTGCCGCCTGGGTAAAACCCAGGTCCCGTGAAAATCCTAATCCCGCTTCTGACACCAGATATTGAAGTTAAATAAGGATCAGGATAAACAAATAGGCCGAATAGATGTTTATTCAGGGAGAAATAACTTACAACCTAGACAGATGAACACCAGCAAGTTCCACAGGACAGCTGTCTGAGTCCTGCCAGCAAGAGAGTGTTCCCAGGCTCTTCCTCAGACCTCCTTCCACAGGTCACTTCTGCCCATGGCTCCACCCCCCAATGGGCGTGGTCAGTGCCACAGAAGGAGACAAAGTAACTATCTCACTACACCAACAGAAGATGAGAAGCTATGAATTCCTTCCAGGATAATATGGTTTGATCAAGTAAGACCCTCTGAGAGATCTCCAATGGGAACCATTGCCCAGGTGATTCAACATCCAGAACAGCTTCAAGGCAACTGACTGAGATAATGTAGCCTTGAAGACTACTATAGCCAAGACTTAACCATAATTCTAAATTTCTCAGGATCCCCATAGTATTACTAGTGCCACCAATCATACCCCTAAATTCCCAAAATAATTGTTTATAAATGTTTGTTTTCATTTAAAAGGAGTTGGTTATAAATGGTTAATGGTCATAGTCAATCTCTTTCTAAAGAAAAAAGGGGGATATGATATAGAAATGATGGGTGGATTGTTATGATAAATAAAAATGGATAGATTATTGAAGCTACTTTAATCCAAAAAAAAACTATTAATCTCAAGATACTTTACATTGGCATGAATTTTGGTTTATTGATACAAATAAAAGGTCAGTTTTGTTATACTATACTACACGTATATGTTACACTATATGTACTTTTGTTTAAGGTATTTTATACAACTCATTTAAGTGTAATGTATAGTTAAGAAATACAAATTAATAGTCATCTATAATAGTCAAACTTATAGACATGTTAGTTAGATTTTCTAGATATACAGAGATGTATTTCAGATGGATAATCTTCAAATGCGTCAAAGACCTATAGAATATGGCATTTTAAATGTTTTAACAACTTAGACTTTTCTCAACAGTGAGACATGTCTGCCCCTGGCACCACAAATTACCTCAAGAAAATGATGGACATTAAAGAAGCTCCTTATAGAGTTTGCTTTCAATATGACAAGACTAGACATTTGGGCAAGAAACTACTCTTGCCTGGACTGCTTGACTACATGCTGTATGAACTGGACATGTTGAACTTGCCAAAACAAGATGGGACAGGCCTTCAGGATTCCTGCTTCATAAGAGTCTGCCAGACATTCTAGAGGACACAGAAGAAAATGACTGACAAACTGCCAAGATAGGTCAGAGAGTCCTTCAGACTTCCTTCTTTACTGAGAAATCTGCCAGTCACTCTAGGCCTATAGGCTGAAGATGGATGTTTCAATGTTCCAGAAGAACTTTAGGTGACTGTCCAGGCAGCCAGATATCACTGCCATTTCTAAAGAGTTTTGGAAGTTGCTTAAAATGCACTTCCAGTTTACTTAGTTGTATTATATCCTTCTGGGGGTCTTGGATGGAGTTGAAGATAGACAGTTATAGTTATTATTTTTCTTAATTATGATAAAAATAAATTAGATATAAAACTTTAGATTAACAAAGATAGGATAGATGATAGAGTATTTTCTTTAACTTTTTCAAATACAAACAGACTAAATATTATAACTGTAATTCTTGCTTAATACCTGTTTTGTTATATGTAATTTTATTATGTTAAAGTTAAAACCTTCCGGGCTGGAGAGATGGCTCAGAGGTTAAGAGCACTGGTTACTCTTCCAAAGGTCCTGAGTTCAATTCCCAGCAACCACATGGTGGCTCACAGCCATCTGTAATCCGGTCTGGTGCCCTCTTCTGGTGTTGAAGCAGACATGTAAGCAGAGCATTGTAAACACAATAAATGAATCTTAAAAAAAAAAAAAAAGTTAAAACCTTCCTTTTTAATTAGACAGGAAAGGGGAGATGATGTAGGATGTCCTTTTTTTCCTGTATGCTGTGAATATGTGTTGCTTTTATTGGCTGATAAGTAAAATTGTTTTGGCCGATGGCAGGGCAGAATATAGCTAGGCAGAAAATCCAAACTGAGATATGGAGAGAAAGAAGGTAGAGTCAGGGAGATGCCAAAGGAGAAAGATGCCCAAGCATTACCAGTAAGCCACAGATTAATTGAAATGGGTTAATTTAAATGTGAGAGCTAGTTAGTAATATGCCTCGGCCATTAGCCAAACAATTATAATTACTATTAAGATTCAGAGTGTTATTTCATAAGCAGCTACAGAACAGAGTGAGACACATAAAAACTTCAGCTACAATGAAGCAGGTGCAGGAGGCCAAAACAAGAAAATCACATTTGAGGCCAACCTGGGCTACACAGCCAGACACAGTCTCAAAGAACAACACCGGAACTGGGGTGTAATTTAGTGATAGAATAAAAGGTGTCTGGCATGTATGAGGCCCTTGGTTCAATCCCAATAAATACCATATACTTTACATTTGTATATAGAGATCTGTAACTCGGTAATCTTTTCTTTACATTTAATTCTAGCTAAGGGGCAGTCAAAGAGAGACAATATAGCAAAGAGATTAAAAGTTGAGGCTCTCAGAGGAGTGTACATGGAGACTGCAGAAGAGGACAAGACATTGAGAAAAGATTAACAGTAGATACTGAGATCTCCTTCCAGAAACCTTCCTCATTTTATACACAGACAACAATACCCCATGACTCATTCAATCTTGCCAGAAACATATCTAAGATGTAAGGCAACTGAAGCAATTCTAGGAACAGAACCAAAAGAAAGTATGCCTTTACCTTACAAATAGTTAACCCTACCTTTCTTTCACCACCTAGTCATTCTCCAGTATACAGATCAAACATAGCAAAGATCACAAGAGCTGTCTGTAGAAGAGTGGTAGGAAATCACAATGTTAGATGTCACTATAAAATTGTGTGGGACTGCTAGAGATTGCCCAAACCTAGGGCTTCACAAATGTTAGGCAATCACTCTAATGTGACGCTATATCTCTGCTCATCATCTGTAACTTTAAAAAATTATTTACTTTTAATTATATGCATGTATGTGTCTATACTATCTTTGTGTGGTTACCAATGGAAGCCAGCAGAGTGTATCTGATGCCCAAGAGCTAGAGTTACAGGCATTTATGAGCTGCCTGATGTCTGTGCTGGGAACCACATTCTGATGTTCTAGAAGAGCAAGTGCTTTTAACCACTGACTCATCTCTCCAGACCCCACCTCTAACTTTTAATGCAAATAAATGATGTGCACTAAAGGAATGGGGTATTTAAATAGACCATATGACAAATAATGCTGAGAGTGTTTCAGTAGTATAGCACTTGCTTAGGACGTACAAGGTACTAACTAGGTTCTAGCCCCAGTAATTGAAAAAAAAAAAAAAAGTTTGCTTAGAGTAAAATCAACCTAAAAGTCACTAAGTAGTTTCTTTCTTGAGATTAACTGTTCAGTAAGACTTAAAAAAGGGTGTCTCTTAAGGAACTGTGGAATGGCAAGTTTTTACTGTAGTTAAAACAAGAAACTGGCTAATGTGTGTTACCTGGCAATAGGAAGACAACCATAAAAACCACTACCACCCCAAAAGGTATCTAAAAACCCACCATTCTACCAATGCCTGAAATCATTTATGGGTACCTTATTCTATGGTTAGGAACTTGTATCCACTACCAACACTTTCTAGAGGGCAATGAGTTTCAAATGTGTTAAAGCTATGACATAACCCGATAGTTCTACGACAGAAGAATTGTACAATGGGAAGTGAGAAAACCAGGCAATGTGGTAGAAAGAAAACAATGGGAGAAGTGAGGAAGGATTAAACTGAAAGACTGTGCCAGCTCCTGTGGAAGCCAGTTAGCCTGGACCACCTCAAACACTCAAAGCAATGCTGGGTCTTCGAGAAAAATCCAAACTCACCAGGCAGTGGTGGTGCACGCCTTTGATCCCAGCACTTGGGAGGCAGAGGCAGGAAGATCTCTGTGATCTCTGAGATCGAGACCAGCCTGATCTACAGAGCTAGTTCCAGGACAGCTAGGGCTGATACACAGAGAAACCCTGTCTTAAAAAACCAAAAAAGAAAAAAAGTTCAAACTCTTTTACAACACATCTTACCACAGTTCACCCTTATTACTTTATCACTATCTATTTAGAAACAGAGTCTTGCTATGTAGCCCTAGATGGTCTGTAACTCATTAGCCTTGGGATTATAGGTGTGCACCACCAAGCCTGGCTGTTCACAGTTCATTTTAAAAGGATCTTAAAGTCCTTGGTCATTTTCTACTGTTCCCTTCATACATTAGATTTATCCCTTTTCTGTCTTAATCCTTGTATGTACATGTCTAAAACAACCACTTCTTGGGCTAATCTTTATTTTCATCTCAAAATCAAAAGCTTCCCTCATTCACACTCCAAAAGCGCGCAAGCAAGCAAAGCAAGCAAGCAAGCAAGCACACACACACACACACACACACACACACACACACACACACACACACACACACACAGAGTCTCCACTAGAGTTCTTTTGTACTCAGGGCTTCCTGCCCCAAATATGCTTCAATATTTCACATAGACAAGCGTTATCAGAAATGCTTGTTTTAAGTACCGGCCAGTATTTCTTTGTCACTGGCCCCCACTCCACAGTTAGAGCGGTGGTTCCCAACCTGTTGCTTGTTTGGGGACTGAACGACCCTTCACAGGGAATCATCGGAACACACAGATATTTACGTTACGATTCAGAAGAGTAATAAAATTACACCTATGAAGTAGCAACGAAAACAATTTTATGGTTGGGGGTCACCACAACATGAAGAAATGTGTTAAAGGGTCGCAGCATAGGAAAGTTGAGAATCGGTGGTCGAGTCGAAGTAGTTATCAGGGGAAGGGGGAAAAAAAGCAGAACGCTGTCCACCTGCAACAACCAGCCTAGGCACTCAAACCACAAGAGTACTGGGAACTCCGTCTACTCCGTCCCTCACACGGGGGAATGATCCCCACCGGGGAATGATCCAGGCCGCAGCCTCCAAGGGGCGCTGCCCGTTACTCCACACAGCCCACAACTGGCTAACTGCCACCCGCGCAGCCACGACCACCACCTCACAGCGGAATTCTGTCGCCCCCTTGATGACGCCATCACCGCCCCAACCTACCTCAGTGACTATCCCCGAAGCCACCCAGTGGTTCAGCAGTAACCCAGCTGCACTCGGTGCGGACGCCGGGTCCCACGGGTTCGGGGCAGCCATGGCTCCCACACTCCTCTGGGACTGGCGCGAGGAGTGAGAGGCACACAACGAACGGTCGCGCGGCTTGATGATGTCACAGGGCGTTCCCGCCCGGGCGGAAGCCCTGGGAGCGCGTCTCAGGCGAGCGCGGGTCCCCGGTGTTCCCTGGCGGCGCCTTCTCTGCACTGAGCGGTAGGAGGCGAGTCTCGAGCTCCCAGACCCGGCAGCGGCTACAGGAGGCTCCCTGCCCGTAGCTCAGCTGCCAAAGCAGGAGGACCTGCTTTCTCCTTGCCACACTCTTGAGCTGCCCCCTAGGAAGTAGGGATAGGCAGAAGGTGACAACTGGGACAGGAGACCCTCACGGGAGGTTTACCTGATGGCTGTGTGTCTGTCTAGACTGGGCGGTGACAGCTATGCTTCTTTCCCGCAGGGAACTGAGCCGCAGCGCTAGGATGGGAAACAGTGCCCTCCGCGCTCATGTGGAAACAGCGCAGAAAACTGGTGTCTTTCAGCTTAAAGACCGTGGTCTGACCGAGGTGAGACGAGAAGGGGGCCCGACCAAGAAACTAAAAGGGAGAGGGGTGGCGGGGTGGCTAAGTTTATTTGGTGCGGGATTTTCCACGCTGTGAACTCCTTTCTCCAGTTCCCCTCAGAGTTGCAGAAGCTGACAAGCAACCTTAGGACCATCGATTTGTCCAACAACAAGATCGACAGCCTTCCGCCTCAGCTAATAGGAAAGTTCACCCTGCTGAAGAGCCTCTCCCTCAACAACAACAAACTGAGTATGGCTTTTGTGCCTAGCTAGCTTTTGCTAGTGATCAGCAGTTAAGGGTGTTTTCCCTCTTACAAGCTGATTCTGTTATGAAATCAGTTCAGGGCATGCAGAATGTTAGAGCATTGAAGCTTTCTGCCTCTTGCACTAAATCTGCATGCCTCCTTGGATAATAGAATCATCATTCCTAGGTTAATTTGGACTTGGGAGACTTACGGGATGCGATGTAAACAGAGTTCTCTAATTTGGGGTCAGGGTGGAATGGATCTTCCAAACCTCCCTAGATTGTTAGAATGTACTTAGGCCCCTTTACAAAACGAAACTATTATACACATAAATGCTTTTTTGCATTTTGATGGCTCTTAATCTCCCGAACGCTGTTGGTAAAATGTGATACCTAAATATGGCATGTGAGAATTCTATGGAAAAGTCGGGCCTGTTTACTTAGGGCTGTAATCCCAGCTACTCAAGATGCTGAGGCAGAAAGATCGTAATTCCAAGGCCATCCTAGACAACTTAATAATGAGACCCTGTTTCAAAAATACAAACAAAAAACAAGATGAAGCAGGCTGCCATACTGTCTTTTTGTAAACTAAATTAGTTCTATCAGATTCAGATATTTCTCTTTAAAAAAAAAATTTCTTCACCAGCTGTTATACCCGATGAATTATGTAATCTGAAAAAACTGGAGACTCTAAGTCTAAACAACAATCACCTGAGAGAGCTACCGTCTACCTTTGGGCAGCTCTCTGCCCTGAAGACCCTGAGCCTCTCTGGGAACCAGCTGGGAGTACTACCACCCCAACTTTGTAGCTTGCGCCACCTGGATGTAGTAGACCTCTCTAAAAACCAGATTCGGAGTATACCCGATACAGTAGGGGAGCTGCAGGCCATCGAACTCAACCTCAACCAGAACCAGGTTGGTATTTTATTTGTGTGTGTGTATTGCCACCCTCCCCAGTGTATGTTTGGGTTTATGGTCTCCTAATACCTTCCTGTTCCTTAAATGCTAATCATGGAGTTGAATATCAGAGGCTAAAAGATATACTCCATGAGCTGAACTTATTTCAGTACTCAGTGTCACACAGTGGGTTGACAGTGACTGTGAATAGTGTTCAAGGTGTTTGAGGAAGGCAAAACAGACTAATAGGATAATTACAAAACAAAGAAACTAATGGAAGTTTTGAAAATCTTCGGTTCCTTTTCACACCCACAATCATTTAGTGAGCGGCCATGTTGGGATGGCATAGTGTAGGAAATGAGAGGCCTACACCATAACTCTGAGAGCCAGGGTTTTTTTGTTTTTTTTGGTTTTTTTTTTTTTTTTTGCTTTGTTAAATATGTATTCTTTTGTTGAAGAACCCCTAAGTGGTTGTTTTGATTTTTGATTAACATTTGTCTGGAAAAGCATTCTGCACTAGACATGAGGCAGAGTGATGAAAGAAACATTTGAGAAGAGGTAGCCCTTAGTTAATGTAGCATCTATGCTTCTACATATGTACAATTCAGTATATTTGCTGGTACATACATGTTATTATTTTGCTAGACCATAGTTAACATGATATTCAGTCTTTGAAGTTGGCTTCATCTTTCCTGAGACTTTCAGGGGAAAAAAATAAGCATCAAGTATTAGTGGATAGTGAGTACATGGGAAGCATGGACCCTTGGTTTCAGCAATAAAGCAGTAGGTATCAAAATGTTTGTGTGGCTGTTTTTCTGAGTAAGGTTAGTGGCAAACTTTTTCCTTAAACTTACATGATTCTCATATTTTCTATAAATGTACAGTACTTTTATTATTAGTTTTTATTTCTGAAAAGCTGCTGGTAACCTTCAAATCATTTGATTTGAAAGTGGAGGAGTAACAGAAGGTATGTTAACACAGGCTTCTGTAATGAGTAGGTAGTGAGAAAATGGAGGCAGTAAAATAACTAGGACACAGTCAAGATTTGTCTCAGTGTAGGAAAAAGTAGCCATTCTGCTCTTCACTCTCTTCCTGTTTTGTTTGCAACAGATATCTCAGATCTCAGTGAAGATATCCTGCTGTCCTCGCCTGAAAGTCCTGCGTCTGGAGGAAAACTGCCTTGAGCTCAGCATGCTCCCACAGAGCATCCTCAGCGACTCCCAAATCTGCCTGCTTGCTGTGGAAGGCAATCTCTTTGAAATAAAGAAACTTCGAGAACTAGAAGGTTATGATAAGGTGTGTATTAGCATATTCTATATTTCTAGTGTGTGCACTAGAGAAAAGGCTGAGGTAACCTAGGTGATGTCGACAGTTAGCATCACCAGGTTCCTTTTTGGAGGTAGTTCTAAGACTTGGTCAGTCTGTATTATGCCAAGATGACTTTCTCCACATTCTGCTTATAGCATCTTTTTATGCTTCCTAGTAAAATACATGGGAAAAAAAAATCAATGTGATTTAATAGTTAGACTTTGCTGGGTGTGGAAGCATGGCTCTCATCCTACCACTTGGGAGGCAAAGGCAGGCAGATCTCTGGGAGTTTAAAGGCCATCAAGGGCTAGATAGTGAAAAATAATTTTGTATGAACCAAGTCAAATTAAAAAGAAACAAATACAAAAACCCAAGTTAAAAAAATACACTTATATTTGCCCATACCAAATACCATATGTATATTTTTCTTTCGTATTTTAGTACATGGAGAGGTTCACAGCCACTAAGAAGAAGTTTGCATGATGTTCTCCGGGACCATGGGAACCTTAAAGGACACTGACTTGGAACCTCTGTTGGAATCTGGCCGAGTTAGAGACTCCTAATGTTGGAGACACTCCAGATTATGTTTCACTTGATGACTTTCTTCCTTTAAAGGATTATCTCAGATAAACTAAAGGAAAAGGACTTAGGAGACAGGAAAGAGCCCTTCATTTTGAACCACGGATAGGGCAATGGCCAATGTTGATCTTCAAAACCATCATTAGTTGGGCTCTAAGAAGCCTGTAGGTAGTTGCTATTCATGCAGTGAGGGAATGCTGCCTGGTAACAAAATGACTCAACAGCACAGCTAGAGATTTTGTTGAGCTGCAGTGTGTCAGCTTTCATAAAATCAGTTACCACATCACTTCTGTGTTAACACTTCATATTTTTATGAGATTCTAATTTGTGGGAAACTTGGATGGTTAAGGACATAATATGCTTTTGTGTCAGTCCATCAATTCAAAATCAATGCACTTCGAACTTGGGATGTATATACATACATATATATGTAGCTATCTTAAAGCAAGCTTTGTCAAGACAAGCACCAACACACAGCCAAGAAATGTCCCCAAGGCTGCAGCAGCAGTTTTACTATTGCAGGTGCCTTATTGGTAGAAGGCTCTGAAGAGCTAAAAGTATATGCAAAAACTGTAAAATTTCTGTTTTTTAGACAGGCTTTTGCTATGTAGTCCAGGTTAGCCTCACACTTACAATCTTCCTGCCTCTACCCCCTTAAGTACTGGGATTACAGGCATGCGCCACTCAGCCCACTTGTAAGATTTTAAATGAATTTTAATAATCAAGATTTTCCTGAAGATTTGTTAAAAATCACGTATTATTTCTGGTAATTTCTCCCCCTTTTGTATTTATGACTGTACTAATCAAATTACCTTCAAGAAAACCATTGCTGTAATATTTTAAAATAACCTATGATTATCATGGCCATTCTCTGAGAGGACATACTAAATAAAATATTTTTAATTAACTTTGCTGGAAGCAGTGTTAATCATTTAAAGAACTTATAATCTGTTGAGTGGTCATTTGTGCTTTGAAAGTAAACTGGAAGTATGTTTCATGCTCTTGTTTGGTTTCATGAGGAGTGAAATCCATTGATGTCATTCAAGACTTTTCTGAGGAATTGGGAATCATGCTTAAGAAAATGTGAAGGTACACACACACACACACAGATTTCTGATTGTCACTGCTAAGAACATTGCAAAGTATTTAGTAGTTAAATAGTAGTTAAAACTAGCTTAAAGTTGGAAAATTACAAGAGTTTACATGAAGCAGCCTTTGTGACCTCAAATTTGGTCCAGGTATTCTTTTCCCCCATGTTTTCTCCATTCGGGGATAGGTGGTACCATCATTAAAGTTTTGGGTTTTTTTCTCAGATTTATTTTTCTGTGACCTGGATCACCTGGAACTGGAGCTACAGATAATTTTGAGCTGCCATGTGGGTGCTGGGAACAGAACCCAGATCCTCTAGAAGAGCCACATGTATTCTTAACCACTAAGCCAACTCTAGCTTATTTTTATTAGTTCAAGATGTACTATTCTTGCTGATCACTGAACAGCTGACTTCTCTTGGCATTTTACCAGTACCTTTCATTCAACAAATATGAACATACAAATTTAATACCTTAGATGTATTCATTTGTGCTCCCCATTCCTGTAAAAATTCTTCAATTTCATGCATGTTCAACCATACCAGATTATATACTGCTCCAGAATGCTTTAGTGTTATTCAGTCAAGAAATGTCCTCTCTCACTACTTGGGTCTTGTGTCTAAGCTCCTTCTCTAAATCTAATCCGAATTAGCTGCTCCCTCTTCTGCTGATAGAATGCTTTCCACATCCTATATTTATCTCTCTGCTAGACTAAAGTGCTTGAGGCTAAAAACTATATAAAGTAAGGGGCTGGAGCAGTAGTTCAGTGATTAAAAGTACTTGTTCTTGCAGAGGATCCAGGTTTAGTACTATACCAATATGGTGGCTCACAACCATCTGTAACGCCCAGTTCCAGGGGATCAAATACTCTTTTGGCCTCTGTGATATTCAAGTTTAACATTCATACACAAAATCTTTAAAAACAAAACAAAACAAAACAAAAAACCCTACCCAATAAGCCTTAAGTTTTAATTTGGTTTAGAGTTAGTATAAGGATGGAATAAGATCATGGGCTCTGTCCTCAAGAGGGATCAAGGTCTAGACCCAGAGTTTGTTACTTAATAGCTTTCTGGGCAATTTATTCTCATCTGTAAATGTAGGAAATACTTCTCAAGAATGTATTATAGTGAAAAGATACATAAAAGTGACCCAGCAGGAACTCAATGAAACAAGCCATTTATCTTACCGATAAAGCATGAAAGTACAATTGAGTAAATTAATCAGGAATAGAAGGCTGAGAGGTAGCACTACATTAAGAGGCAAAAAACAAAGATTTTAGGATAAAGAAACCTGAACATCAATATGAGAAGCACAAGTCAAATTAGGAACCTAGTCAGAATAACTAGGAATTTCAATGAGATCATCTAGGAAAACTTGTTTTTAATGTTTACTGCATTTATGCATACACGCACACAGGCTTGCATATACCATAGCACCACATGTGGAAGTCAAAGGATAACTTTTGGGTTGGCTTTCTTCCACTGTGTAGGTCCTAGAGATCAAACTTGGGTTGTCAGGCTTGGCAGCAAGTGGTTTTCCCTGGTGCGCCATTGATGGGAGATGTCATTCTGTATATGTTTCTTATACTGGTTAATGAATAAAACACTATTGGCCAATAGGAAAGCAAGATAGGCGGGACTAGGAGACAAGGAGGAAAGAGGAAGTAGTGAGGAGAGCCAAGATGGAGAGTCCGGAGAAAGCAGTATGCCGGCCGGCTCCCCGGTAAGAGAAATACATAGATCAGCAGAAATGGGTTAATAATTAAGGCAGAGCTAGCCGATAAGAAACAAGTAACTGGGCCAACAGCACTGTATCAAATACAGAGTCTCTGTGTATTATTGGGGCTGGAGCGGCAGCGGCACAAGACCAGCGGCGACAGGCGGAAAAACCTAACTCGTTACACGCCATATCATTGGCTCTTTTTGGTATTTTTGAGTATGTTTTCACATATCCCAGATTGTCCTATAACTCACTGTATAGCTGAGGATGTCCTTGAACTCCTAATCCTCCTACCTAGTACTGAGATTGTAGGAGCAAGCCACCACACCTAGTTCACGTGCTAATAAAGTACTGAACCTAGGTATTTTTGAATAATACACAAATACTCTATGAACTGAGGGTTTCTAATAACCCCAGCCCTAAAACGTTAATTGTAGACAGGGCAGTGGTGGTGAATGCCATTAATTCCAGCACTCAGGAGGCAGAGGCAGGTGTATCTCTATGAGTTCAAAGCCAGCCTGGTCTACGAAGGGAGTTCCAGGACAGGCTCCAAAGCTACACACACAAAAAAAAAAAAAAAAACCCTGTCTCAAAATGTCAATCCCCCCCCCTCAAAAAAGTTGATTTTAAATGATCATTATAGGATATCTAGAATGCAGATGTTCAAGTTAACGGGAGAGTGCCATTAATTCCAGCACTCAGGAGGCAGAGGCAAGTGGATCTCTCTGAGTTCGAGGTCAGCCTGGTGGTCTACAGAATAAGTTCCAAGACAGCCAGGACTGTTTCACAGAGAAACCCTGTCTTGAAAAACAAAAACAAAGAAAAAAGAATTGAAGTGAGAATAAAGGATAAATTAAAACTGAAGAAGGAATGAAATGGGTATCGGCTGTACAAGTTAAGACTCAAACAAACTAAGATGAAATTTGAGCTTTACTGTTATGAGGCAAGCCAGGGTTACATGGTGAGACTCAGTTTAAAACAAAAAAATAAAAAGTTTATGCCTAACAGAGGTGGCACATGCCTTTAATCCCAGCACTGGGAAGGAAGAGGCAAGAAGATCTCTGAGCCTGAAGCCAGGCTGGTCTACAGAGCAAGTTCCAGGACAGGTTCCAAAGCAATACAGAGAAACCCTGTCTCAAAAAACAAAAAAGGAAAACAAACGAACAAAGAATGGATACCTAAAACTGAGTCGAACTAGAACCAAGATGCAGATGGAGAGGACAAGACCAGGCTGCAGAAACACATAGAGACAGCTGACCTGAACAAGGAGGAGCTAACGGCCCCGAGACTGATAGCTGGGAATCCAGCATGGGACTGACTCAGACCCCCTGAATATGGGTCTCAGCTAGAAGGACTGAGCAGTCTAAGGGACCTCAGACAGTGGAACCAGGATGTATTCCTGGTGCAAAAAAGGACCTGGCAGACACATTCCCCATGGAGGGATACCACCTTAACCTGGAGACCTACTTCAAATGACTTGACAGATCTGCATGACCCCACCTGGATGGCATTGCCCTACATGTAGAATTGGGGTAGGGGTATGGGAGGGGAGGGTGGTCAGGGTGCATGTGAGGGGGCAGAGAGGGTAAAAGGGAGGGAGGGAGGGAGGGAGAGGGAACTGAGATCGACATGTAAAATAATAAATTAAATTAAAAAGAAAAGAATGGAAAAAAAGATTTAGTACAGGATACTATTTAACTATAGTCACAGATACTGTGTTCAAGGTCACAATACTAGAAAATTAACCAAAAAGTGAACCCAGACAACAGAAGACTCCAGTTTGTATTAACTATTTGCTATAATAGTTTCTCTAGGAAAAGGGACTATGTTGTCTTTCACCAAATTCATAGGTTTTTGTCCAAGAATTCCCTCCATTCTAGAGAAAATAGCTACCATTTATTACATTTACATCCGACAGTTTTTGTTTGTCTTGAGGGGAGTGCTTTTTGACTAAATGTAGCTTAGGCTGGCCCACAGTTCATTGTGTAGGCTGATTCTGTCTCAGGTTCCCCAGTGTTGGGATTGCCCTGACTACTCTAAGTATTAACATTCTGTGAATTTATGAAGTAGGATTAATGAATTCCCACTTACAGGTAAGGAAACCAAGGCCCACACTCACACCAGCCAACAAGAGCAAAGGAAAATTCACAATTGGGGGCTTTGGTGCATGCTCTAATCAATCAGCTACACCTATCAATCAGTACTATTCCCTTAGCCAGATCAATGTGTAAAGTTTTTAAATGCTTTTAAGAAAAGCACTTTTATGTATAGCACATTCTAGTGTCTTATATTTAATCATACTTCATACATTCAAAACCTTCACCTATCCATTCTGACATGGAGCATTTCTTTGTTTTATTTAAATAATGTCCTCTTCACCCTTTGAATGTTTCTGTGCTAGCTGTGTCATCTTTAGTGAATGACTTAATTCTCACTCAAAATACTCAAGTGTATTTAAGTTCAATGATTAAGACAAGTAATGACTAAAACGGACTCATGACAAACCACAGAAACTCCTGTGAACATTTCTAATAAAAATTGGAAAAGAGCTAATTGCAGCTTTCTATTGGAGTGTTTGATTATGGATATTTGCTTTATTCAATTTGTTAACAAAAGCTGATAAAATGATTGCCCCCACAAATAAGTCAGAAACATGTTACCTATTTGAAAGAACAATACCATTAGTTACAAAGTTTAATTGTAAGAATCAAGCAATGGTTATTGGTCAAACCAATCTACTTTGGAAGCTCTGAAGTGTACAGTTGCTAATTTTAAACAAAGGTGATAAATACCAACTCGGCCTTCCTAGCACTTCAGGATGGACATAAACTTGATTCTGTATACATGGCAGAGAGTGGCAGTGCAGTCATCAATAATTAATTCAAAGGCATAATTTTCCAGACAACTTTTAGTAACAAATTATAACTTTTTAAATGTCTAAACAATCTATTTTTCTACCTGAGATTAAAACAAGTTTTCTTTTCCATATCTAAACGTAATTCTTAGTATTTGAGGTAAATCTGAATTCACATGATACACTGTCAAACTTTCCCCAAAATGTTGAAGCCCTGCTTTAGTGAGGAAGTCTCATATTTCACACACACACACACACACACACACACACACACACACACACACACACACACACACATCTTTAAAAGACTATGACAACTTCACAAGGTTAATAGCCCTACAATGGGACCACAATATGACTCATGAGGATAAAAGGCACTCATTTATACAATGTTCCTGAATGTGCAATATGAAACAGGATCCTAGAACCTATGTACATACATAAATCACTATTCAGAAGTGAGGCTCACTTTAAGAAAGCCCACTGTATTCTCCTTTGGAGCAGAAGCCGCAAACTATAGTGATGTAAAACAAAATGCATGAGTAAAAGCTCCCACCTGAGGTGTTAGTCTGTTTTGTTTTTTGACTTATAGTTTCTTTAATGAGTTAACAACTTCACTTCTTGTTCCTTCTTCTGCTCTTTACCACAAAACCAGAACCAAAGCAACCAACCAACAACAAAAGCTACTTATACAGATGCCTTCTTCATGGATCTTTGGCAATGCTTCCAAATCTTGAATACAAAAGAAGCTAAGTGAAGAGGATGAAAGACTATGTGTGATGTACGGAAAGCAGCCTAAGAGTGTGAACTGCGAGAAAGGCTGTAAGGAAGTCTGAGCAGGCACATACCCCCAAAGGATAGACAATAAGTAGGGAGGCACTCCTCCTCTGGTCCTTCTTTACAAGCTTTCAAACTCTGAACAGGTAATGACTTAGATGGAGCTAGAGAACTGAGCAACAGGTAAAGAAGCACAGCAGTGGCTTTAGCTGTCAATGAGTTTCTTTGCTCTTGTATTGGCAATGTCAATCCGATCCTTGTTGGTATCAGCCTGGAAAAAAGACAAAGAAAAATCTTAGCATATATTCACAAAAACATGACACTTTGATTGGGGGAAGAGGGTGTAGCTTAATTAGCAGAGTGTCTGCCTAGCACATATGGTGCCCCGGGTTCAATTCCACAGCACTGCATAAAACTAGGCATTTATGCCACACATTTGTAATGCTAGCATTTGGAGAGTAGAGGCAAGGGGACAGAGATTCAAGATCTTCCTCAACTATATGATGAGTCTGAGCTAGCCTATGGTACGTACATGAAGTCCTGTCTCAAGTCAACAAGTCAGGCAGTGGTGATACACGCCTTTAATCCCAGTACTCGGAAAGCAGAGGCAGGCGGATATCTGCAATTTCAAGGGCACTGTCTCTACAATTCTATGACCCTACATTCAAACACACACACACACAGACACACACAGACACACACACACACACACACACACAGAGTTTTATATACTTGGGAACAAGATATGAGCATATGCCTATAATCTTGGTACTCAAGAGGCTATGACAGTAGCATAAGTTTATACCAACCTGGGTTACCTTCAAACTGTCTTAAAATAACAACAAAAGAGAGTGAGGACATAGTTTAGGAGTAGAGCACTTGCCTGCCATATGAGACCCTATGTTTAATCACTGGGGCAACAAAAAAGTAAAAATTCTAATTACTTTAATGTGTATGTTTAATGTGTATGGGTGTTTCACCTGCATGTATGTCACCATATGCCTGTGAAAGGCACAATGAGGATGTTAGATCCCCTGGAACTGAAGTGGGACAACATGTGGGTACTGGGAATCCATCCCAGGTTCTCTGGAAGAATTACAAGTGCTGCCCAAGTCAACTGGCCCCAAAGGGCTACAGGCAGGCCACATCATGTCTGGGAATCCAATGCAAGTCTTCATGCACACACAGCAGGCACTCCAACTGCACCACTATTTATTTTTGGAACTAGATCTTATTACCTAGGCTGGTCTTGAGCTTGTGAGTTCAAGTGATCTTCCCACTCCTCTAGAGAGGCTAGAATTACAGGCATACAACACCATGTCCAGCTCATTTTTGGGGCAATAAAGTATGGCCAGAATGCTCTCTGAACAGGAGACTGAAATAACTTTGCCAAATATCTTTGGAACAGATGTAGTGCCACCCACAGAAGCATCTAAATTAAAATGATGTGTAACTATATCCTAAACCCAGAGCACAGCATTGTAAGCACTTTAGAAGCCATCCTTTACTTAACGGTATACCCTGCAAGTGGCTCCAGTGCTACAGCTGGAAAAGGCAGAGGGTGTCACACTCCTTAGAGTCGGAGCTGTAGGCAGCTGTGAGCCACCTGATATGGCTGCTGGGAATGAACACAGGGCCTCTGTTAGAGCAATAAGTGTTGCATGGTAGAGCAAGCCTAGGTGGATCTCTGGAAGTTTAAGGCCAACCTGGTCTACAGATCTAGTTCCAGGAGAGCTAAAGGCTACACAAAGAAGCCCTATTTTCAAAAAACAAAACAAACAAAAAGTTATGTGTGGCTGGAGAGATGGCTCAGTGATTAAAAGCACTTACTTTTTTTTTTTGATTTTTTGAGACAGGGTTTCTCTGTGTAGCCCTGGCTGTCCTGGAACTCAGAAATCTAACTCCCTCTGCCTCCCAAGTGCTAGGATTAAAGGTATATGCCACCATCACTTGGCTACTCTTTTTTTTTTTTTTTTTTTTTTTTTGTCCCCTCTGGAGACACAAGACTCTTACTTTAAGTGTGTAGTCCACAAGAACAAGTTTACAGAACTGTTTTTGCTACTGACTCCAGAAATGAAGCTGCAGGACCTTACTAGGCTATCAGTGAAAAAAAGAGTCAAAGCTAACATGCATTCAGGGATGAAGCAAAAAAGCACACAAAAAGGTCAAAGTAGGATCTACTCAGTACATTGTTTTGTTGTTGTTTTCTGAGACAGGGTTGCTCTATGTAGTCCTGGCTGTCCTGGGATTCTGTACGTTGATGATGAGGTTGGCCTTGAACTCACAGAGACCTGTCTGCCTCTGACTCCCTAGTGCTGGGATTATTGGTGTGTGTCATTACACCCAGCTTACTCAGTACACTTTTTTTTAAAACTTGTTTATTTATTTATTTTCAAGGCAAGTTTTCTCTGTTTAACAGCCCTGGCTGTGCTTTGTAAAGCAGGCTGGCCTAGAACTCACAAAGACCCACATGCCTCTGCTTCCTAAGTGCTGGGATTAAAAGTGTATACTTCTGCCAACAGGCTACTCAGTACATGCTTAAATTTCTTTTAAAATTATTTATTTACTTGTCTATTTACTTATTATAGATATAGAAGTCAAAGGACAATCTGTAAGAACAGTTCCTATGGATTCCAGGGACCAAAATCAGGTTGTCAGGCCTTGTGATAGGCACCTTTACTTGCTGAGCTACTAAACAACAAATTCTTAGCTTCATGTGGGAAGTTTAAGTTAAACCTCATTCTAAGCCCTTGGCTTCACAACAAACCAACTGCCATGAGCAAAATAGGAAGACTGGCCTTTTGTTTTTAAAATGTTGGAGCTGCCACCTACCAACACTGTTCTGAGTAGATAGTATTCATCCCCCTTTTTCCCCGAAAGTACCCAGCACCGATGCACTGGATTGGCTATCTCATTTCTTGTGGCCTTACATTTTTCTTCCTCTCCTTGTTTTTTTTTTTACCTTTTCTGTGATCCTCTGTATTTGCTGGTTCTGAGCATCAATTTCATTGCCCATGTCCAGAGCCATGTTCTTTAGATTGCCTAGGATACTGCCCACTTGCGTCAGGTTCTCCTCCATCTCATCTTCTCTGGCATCGTTGGTTATACTATCACAGAGAGTTAAATCAGAACTTTCTTTTGAGTTATAATGGACTAAATCTGGAATTAGTTATATAAAAATAAGTAACGAAAATGATGCTCAACCCATGAAGAAAGAAAGGTAGTCTCCAGGGAAAGAAAGGAACAAAGGGAAGGGGTAAAGAAGAGAAAAGAAAGGCAGGCAAGGCAGATAGCTTGGAAGGTAAAAGTTCCTCCTGTACAAACCTGATGACCTGATCTCAATTCATGGAATCCATGTAAAGGTAGAATGAGAACCAAATTCATAATGTTGTACTCCATGTACATGCTATGGCGTACATGTATACTCATGTTCGCACATATATGTATAAAAGACTTTTTTCTTTCTTTTTTTTTGAAGCCAAGAATGGTGGCCCATACCTGTAATCCTAGCACTCAGAAGGCTAAGGCAGGAAGATCAACACAAATTGGAGACCAGCTTGGGATACACAGACCTTGTCTGAAAGCAACAAATAAACAGCAAAGGCTGATCAGGATAAAATAAGAGCTGAGTAAAAGATGATCAACCCACAACTCTAGGACAGTGATTTAGAATGTTTTCCAGCATCACTGAAGTATCTGTAACACATTAATTCTCACACTCCATTCCAAATCTGCTCAATTAGGAACTGTGAGTGGAGCTATGAAATCTGTACATTTTTATTGAAATGTTTTCCTCCTAAGCCAGGCATTGGTGGTATACAATTTTGATCCCAGCACTTGGGAGGCAGGGGCAGGTGGATCTCTGTGAGTTTGAGGCCAGCCTGGTCTACAGAGCTAGTTCCTGGACAGGTTCCAAAGTTACACAGAAAAACCCTGTCTCGAAAAACCAAAAAAGAAAAGAAAGAAAATTTTTTTCCTCCTCAGACAGAATCTCACTATGTAGACTAGGATGGCCTAGAAATCCTCCTGCCTCAGCCTCCCAAGTACTAGGATTACCAGGAAAGCAGGTTGGTCCCCGCCCCAGATCCTCCTATGTCAGTCTCCAAAACCAACTGAATCTGTACGTTTTGTTTTTAACTTTTACAATTATTTACTTGTAATATGTTCATGCACATAGATGTGTACATATCACAGCACATGTACGGAGATCAGAGGATATGTTATGGGAGTCAGTTCTCTCCTTTTACCATATGGGAACTAGAAACTGAAATCGGAACAGCAGGCTTGGCAGCCAGCTCCTTTACTGCTGAGCCGTCTTACCAGCCCCCAATCTGGGTTTAATAAACCTTCAAATCAATCTATGCACATTCAAATCTAAACAACTACTACTTAAGTAGACTGGAAAACTATAGTGCAATAGAAAAATCTAATACAGTCATTGTATCTAGGGTAAGCATCAAAATGAAAGTTTTTTGTTTTCGTCTGAAGTACTTATATCTTGAAGAAATTACTGTAGAAAGCAGTGATTATTTTTTTGTTATCTATTATAGAGTTGTTTTACTGAAGCAGCTTTTATAGCTTTTATAATTTATAATTTTGGTCACAAGACAGTTCTGGCACACCTGGAATGTCTTGTATTATTGAGTACTGCAAACAGTGCACAACAAGGACTAAAGTTACAGGGGTGCGATGTTTCTCTTTAAAAACATAGATTAGATTAGGGGCTTTAGTATGAAGAATTTGTTTTATCCAAAAAACAACTTTGGTGTAACAATAAATATATTTCTACATGGCTGTTTGAGGTTCAGTCAATCAAGGCTGGACCTCAGAGCCTAATTACATTCTGGAGGGACCCTATTTCTTTGATCACATCATGTAATTCAGAACACCTATACTATGGCATTATTAAGAAGTGGCAGAAGGTAGGGTGTGGGGTTTGACAGCAGCTCCATTGTTCTACCTTTTCTTGTACCTCCTCCTTCTCACCACTTACTGTCTGCCCACAAGTAAAAAAACAACCTTTACCATATGTCTGCGGCAATGATTATCTTTCCAAGCAACCATGGACCCTTTGGAATGCAAAGCCAAAATAAAACCCTCTTTGAGAGAAGAGACTAGGAAAGAAGAGACTAGGGAAGAGACAGATTACTTGTTGAGCCATTCATTAGGCGAGGTGTAGAAATAGGAAGAAGAGCTAGCATACCGTTTAATGTATCCACCGCTGGCTGCTCCTGTGGTTTGCTGAGGCTGACCATTTGTCACCCGTCCTGGTTGCTTAGATACTACATTGCTAGGTGAGTTGTCTCCACCATCTCCCCATGTTGCCTTATAGTTCTTTCCTGACTCAAAGTTCTTCGTCCTATATAAATGTCAGGGATATAGGCAAACCAAAAAACAGGAAAGGGGAGTTAAAATTACTAGTGCTTATTACCATGAATAAGACTCTACCATTCCTGGCTAGAACTAGGTTATCTACCAACATTTAATCATTTTTGGTTTTTTGTTTGTTTGTTTGTTTGTTTTTTGGAGACAAGGTCTTACTATGTAGCTTAGCTGTTCTGGCACTGGCTCTGTAGACCAGGTTGGCCTTGACTCATACCTGCCTGTCTCTGTCTCTCAAGTGCTGAAATTAAAGGCCTGAGTCATTACTCTCAGCCATTTAATCTTTTTGTTTTGTTCTGTTTTGTTTTGTTTTTGAGACAGGGTTTCTCTGTAGCTTTGGAGCTTGTCCTGAAACTCATTCTGTAGACCAGGCTGGCCTCAGGCTCACAGAGATACCCGTCTCTGCCTCCTGGGTGCTGGGATTAAAGGTGTGCACTACCACCACCCAGCCATTTAATCATTTTTAAAAGGTCCAAATGTTACTACCAAATCTTTGCTAAGAGAAGCAAAGTTTGCAAGTGGCAAACTGAAAATTGATACTTAAGCCTTTCAGTCTATAGCCTTTTTCAGAAAAAAAAAAAAAAGAAGAAGAAGAAGAAGTTAATGGATACTGGGGGTGAGGGGAATCCTTAGGAAAGGTATTTGAAGATACACAAAGATTCCTGGGAGGAATCACAGAGATTGATGTGTGGACTATAATAAGCCCAAGAAAGTAACAGTTGGACTCATCTTTGTCCCCTATTGTTTGAACTAGAGTAGTTCTGGATGAGGCCTCACTGTTTTGGTTTCTATTTTGCTTTTGTTTTTGAAGACAGGGTTTTTCTGTGTAGCCCTAGTTGTCCTGAAACTTGCCTTGTACATCAGGCTAGCCTCAAATTCAGAGACCAGCTTGGCTCTGCTTTCAGAGTGCTGGGATTAAAAGCATGCAACATCACACCCTTGATTTGTGGGTTTTTTGTTTGTTCCAGACCTGGTTTCATATAGCCCAAGGTAGCCTCAGATTCATTATGAATCCAAATGAGAACTTGATGAGCTGGACTGCACCTGCAAGCTGTACTCCTACTTAAGATGGGAGAGATGGGTGTGCTGGGTGGCTGGACCTCTAAGTCAGAGGCCAGCCTGGTCTACAAAGTGAGTCCTTACATCTAAGTAAAACTTAAACCAGACCCACCTAAAAGCTTTAGGTGTAGCTAATAGAGTCAACATATAGGAAGTACTTCTCAACTGATGCAATTGGCAAGAAAAAGAAGCTTAGGAAAGTGCTTTTCTTTTCTTTTCTTGAGACAGGATGTAACTACATAGCCTAGGCTGGCCAACTCTTGGCCTTCCTCTTGCTTCTACTTCCCAAGTGCTAGGATTACAGGCTTATGACACCTCACTTGTGTCATTGTGACTTTTAAATGGCTATTTCAAAACTGCCCTTTTCATAATAACAAAAATTGTAAAAGCAGAGAATAAAGTCTATGAAAAAAAAAAATTGAGCCCTTAATGAAGGCGAGTTCTGGGAAAACTGGAATTGGACCTTATTCATTACTTCTCCAGAAAGGGCACTCTGACCAGGGTGTAGTGGCACATGCCTATGATCCATACTCAGGCAGCCGAGGCAGGAAATCATTCTTTTGAGGCCAGCCTGGGTTATGTAGTGAGACCTTATTTCAAAAATTAAAGGCAGCTCAGTTAGCAGAGGTGCTTGCTGCCAAGCTTGAAGGCCTGAGTTCAGTTTCTAAAATCTACATGAAGACAAAAACAATTACTGCAAGTTTACTTCTGACCTTCACATGTATGCTAAAAAGAAGTGTGTGTGCACACGTACTAATTCATTTATACAGGGTATTCTAAAGGTGTAATTCACATTTAAAAATATCGACTGATTAGTTGATTGGTTGATTCACTAACTGATTGATTGATTGAGGAGAGTACACATTCACCACAGTATGAATGTAGTGGTCAGAGGACAACTACTTCACTCGGTAGTTTCAATTGGCCTTCAACCTTGTTGAGGCAGAAGATGTTGTTGTTGCTGCTGATGCTGGCTGACAAATTTCAGGGCAACTCTCTACCTGTCCCGATAGAGGGACACTGGGGTTACAGATGCACACCAGTATATCGAGCTTTCACTTGGTTCCAGGAACTGAACATCTCTTAATTATTGTTTGTTTTTTTATTTAAATAATACTGTTTTTATCAATCAATCAAGCCATGTTAAATGTTTCATGGACAAGCTAAGATTATCTAATTTTCAAATTGGTGTTTTCATACAATTATCTGTTAATTTAGTGAACCAATCTGTCACATATACTTTATTAACATAAAGGTTCCAGGCAAAAATCACAAGCAGAATAATATACCAAATAAACATATTTCTTCAATATTTTAAAAATAATAGTAGTTTCTGCTCTTTTGTATATTTGTGGTGGTGAGGAATAACCACAGGGGCTCCAGGAGTCCCAGCACCCACCACTAAGCTGCAATTCTCAGCACAATAGCCAGAAGTATTAACGGAGGTAATGTAAGTAGAGCTTTTATTAGGATGCCAGCTTGTAGAACAGGTGGGAGAGAGAGTGATGAATTCAAAAGTGAATAATAAAATCCAGGCACAGTGGCACGCCTGCTAACCCAGTACTCTTGGAGACTGGGTAAGGCTAGTCTGGGCTAACACAGGTGGTCCTGTATCAAAAACAAAAGTGACTAATGAGATACTTAATTTTTTATCATTCAATCATAGTCTTTACAAATCTTATAAAGATTAAAAATTAAGACAGAGTTAGACATTACAACATATAGTAAATTGAAAGGTTTAACTCCAATGAAATATTACTATTAGTTAGCTCTATTGATCAATTTGAACATTTAAATTTCCTTTTTTGTTGTTGTTCTTTTGTTTTGTTTTAAAATAGCTCTGACTGTCCTAGACCTCATTCTTTATGTAGACCAGGCTGTCCTTGAACTCAGAGAGTGACCTGCCTCTGCTTCCCCAGTGCTGGGATTAAAGGTATGGGTCACCATGCCTGGCTCACTGAAACTGATATTTCACTTTATCCTAAATAGGATTAATGATGACTAGAATGACAATTAATTTCTTAATTTGGCAGTAGCCTAAATCATGGGGGTGGGTAAATGTGGAGAAGGAATACTTTACTAGAAGCAATCTCTAAGCCCCAGAGCATGTGAGATCTAATGGAGAGGGTGATGATTAAATTTCTATGAACAGATGGATGCATTCAGCCTGAGTTTCCCCACTTTTAAAAGAACTACACTGTAGCCTCATATTGCAAAGGTCAACTATTTAAGCTTGCAAAATTTCAAGAGTGCTTTTAGTTTGCTAATATTAATGTTACTTAGCAAAAATTTAAGTTTTGGTAATTAGTCTAAGGGAGTTATAACAAACAAGGATCCTTTTAAGTCCATCTTTTGTCTGATGGCCTCATCAAAAACAAATTAACTTCACACTACACACCACAGCACAGCTTTTAAGAAAGCTCTCATCACTCACAGAACCCATGCACATGCACAGAAAAGCCATTTGAAGCATCACCTTTGGACAGCAGGTTAGCAGCTCAGTCTGCACCTCAAGACCGCATCTTAAAGATCCCTTTGATCAGTTACTGAGCCCGGCTTTTGGTGTTAGATCTTCATTTTTAGTAAGCAAGAAAGGAAGAGATTAAGTGAGAGGATGAGAAGCAGACAACTATGGATGTCAGTCAAACAGAACAGAAGCAGGTTTAGAGCTCTGAACACTCGATGCATTCAAATGCCTGCCTGGTTCCAAAGAAACAATCACCATCTGAGAAGCTAGATAAAAAGAAACAAGAAAACAATTTAAGCCATTGCACACTTCATTTTTCCTGAGCATGTCCAGAGGATAATATTCCTCAGTAAAATTCTAAAGCTTATTATGAGCAGAAAGTACTGGCTTGCAGTAATGAAGTTCCCTCAATCTTCCTTAGTGAGGAGTGCTTGCCTGCCATGTATGTACAAGGTAGAGTGTGATAAAAAAAAAAAAAAAAAAAAATATACTATGACAATAGCTTCGGCTGCAGTTACTAATCCCACTGTCATGAAACAAAGTAAACAACAAAAAAATAACTCTTATCTTCCAGAGTATTATTTCTGAATGGTAGATAAACAATTGTGAATGAGGGAAAAAGAGAGAGGAAAGTAGAGTGGGGAAGGAAGGAAGGAAGGAAGGAAGGAAGGAAGGAAGGAAGGAAGGAAGGAAGGAAGGGAAGAATATATGAATCCAAGTTGCTACTGCTAGAAAGAATTTGTGACTCAGAACAAGGAGGACCTCATGTTATGGCTGGTTATATGCTGAGCCTAAAACAGATTGGCAGCTAAGGTCAGAAAAATCTAGACAGTGGAAGGAACGGAGAGGCCACACGTCAGTGGTATAAAGACATATGGAGAAGAAAAGCTCCCTACATATCTTTCAGTAGGCTCTGCTCCGTAATAGCAGTCTTTGACTCCATCTGTTAAAGATGCTTCCTCTCCACCTACTGAGACAAAGTTCTACCAGCATTGATGGTGAAAAGCCTACTTTAGGGCTATATAGGGTCTACTTTCTCTCCCCATGTCTAAGAAAAGCTAACCTACATATGGCAGGGACACACAGAGGGGGGAAAAAAAATCAATACACCCATTGCTTTACCACCATGTTCTCTCATCTTTGACCCTTTTAGAATCCCTTGCTATTTCATTTATTAACCTACAACTTAGAGTCAAATCTTGTTCTAGACTAAAGAGAAGTCTATTTGTTCAAGGAAATTTACCTACTTACCTACTTTCTCTTCCCACATTCTTCCAATAGGATACATGGAGCATAGAAGATGGGGTTTGTAAAACACAGCTAAGAGTTTGAATCACACTAAGAGTTTACAATTTGTTTAAATCAATCTGCTAAACCTGGCTGACACATCGTAGTTTTTATTGCTATTGTTGTTGTTTTGGAGACAGTGTCTCATGCAGCTAGGCTGACCTTGAACGATATGTAGCCTAGGAAGAGGATGACCCTGAGTGCTAGAATACAGGCATATACAGGCATTCACTACCACTCCCCGTTTTATGCAGAGACTCAAACCCAGGACTTTATTCATGCTAGGCAAACACTCACTCTACCATCTGAGCTACATCCCCATACCCAGTCACAGTTATTGAACTATAAACATTTAGAGAGTCAACCAAGGACTAAATAAGTCAATGGGCTTATATTAAAGCTAGGAAGAACTGTGTCAAATCCTAAAGCCTCATGAAAAACAAAACCAGAAGTTGACCAACAAGCAACTTTTTTTATTTAGTGAAAACTGTACACAAGGGACTGGAAAGATGACTCAGGGGTTAAGAGCATTGGTATCTCTTCCAGAGATTTGGGTTCAATTCCCAGCACCCACATGGCAGCTCATTATTTTCTCTCACTCCAATTCCAGGAATCTGATGCCTTTTTTCTGGCCTCTATGGGTACCAGATAGGCACTTGGTGCACAGACAACATGCAGACAAAACACCCATACACATAAAGTTTTTCTTTAATTGAACAGAAAAATATTCTAACGTAAAAAAAAACACTTATCTGAGAGCTGGGGAAATGGCTCAGCAGTTTAGAGTATACTGTATGAGACTGTGCTGTGCAAGATGAGGACCTGAGTATAAATCCCCAAACTTACATTAGAAACAAACAAAGCAAAAAAAAAAAAAAAAAAAAAAAAAAAAAGCATACTTACCTGAAAATATGTAAGGCTTAATTAATTCACTGGGGTTATACTTATTTGGAGCAATAGCTGGAAGCACCATTTATGAAACTCTATAACTTAATCTCTAGACATCCATTTCAACTAAGGGTTCAAAGGTGAGCTCCTAAAGATTAATAGTTAACTGTCTCAGTCCAGGCTTCACCTTATCTGAATATCTATTACTAGTCAAAAGTCATGGAGTTTACCTCATCCAAGAGTAAGAAGAGAATAGAAATTTTCACAATGGAAAAAAAGGAAAATGAGTGACCAGACAGGGTACCTTGAATCTTAGCACTCAGGGGGCAGAGGCAGGCAGATCTCTGACTTCAAGGTCAGCTTATATATAGAGAGTTCCAAGCCAGCCAAGATAACACAGTGAGACCCCATCTCAAGAAAACAAAACGAATGAAGTGCTTGTGTCAATCACAATTTCATACAGTCTTAAATGTCAGCTTGCCACAACTTAGAATCACCTGAGAACCTCAGCCGAGGGACTATCTAGCTCTGGTTTGCCTGTGACCGTGTCTGTGGGCAACACTTTTCCCCAAGGCAGAAGGCCCTAGCAGAGTAGGACATGGGAGATGAGAGGTGACAATGAGCACCCAGCAGGCAGCACTCACTAGCTGCTTCAAGTTCCTGCTTAACTTCCCTTAGGTGATAGGCTACAACCTGGACTTGCAGCCCAAATAAAACTCGCTTTTCCCCTAAGTGGCTTTTGGTCAGGGTGTTCTATCACACAAATGAAAGTAGGACACACTATCATTAGTCTTCCTTGATTCTCCCCTTTTCATGCTTCAAATGCAGCCAATGGCTTTAAAGTGAACTCCTGTTGATTTATAATTTCATCCTCTGATGTTATTGAGAAAGTCTAACTTCAAAGACCCAGAAAATGAATTGCTTTTAACTAGCTACCTGGTGCAGTCATGGACGTCAATCCAGTCCATTAATTCCTTAACTCTGGCATCCAAGTTCTTCTATAGCTACTTACATCTCATTGGCCACTTCTCACCTGAATCATGTAGATCAGTTAAATTCCCTTTCCTTCCATGTTTTAGTTTTTTGTTTGTTTTCTGGTGCTGGGCCTCCCATCTAGCCTCATCCCCAGACCCTTTCCTCCACATTCATCCAAATACTTTTAGTGACAAAGCTCAACTCAAGCCCTACCTCTTCTATAGGGTATTATCTAACCACATCCAGGTGGAGCCTAGCCTTAGTAGAAACCACACCATCTAACACTAGCTCTAACACACTGTCTTTTGAAGTCCATTCTTTACTCCTGAACATCCAGACACAAATGCCATCTGCTCTGCATCACATAGATTTACATTTCCTAGTCTTTTGGTATCCAGATTGAAATTGAGGTTTGCTACAAGACTTGGTCAGTTTAGCCCAGTTACCGAGTTATACTTCTGACTTTACTTCTAGGTAGGGAGTAGGCATGATGTTCTCATGGACTGATTTATTTTTAAAAGGTCTTGATTTATCAACTTACCTATTACAAGGGCAGACACAAAGGCCACAGCACTTGTTGAGCTCTGTTAAAGTCTTCTCTGCCTCTCTCATGTCTTTATTTATTTGGTCCATGCCTTCTTCTATGCGATTTAGTTGTTCTAAGAATAAGTTGTGGTGTGTTACATTCATAGGTGTCCAGTGAAAATGCTATTGTTACCCACTGTAAGTTGCCACCTCCATTCTACCAAGCACCTGGCAGTGATTATCAGTACCAGGAAAACAACTCTAATCTTGAGGCTCCTGGAGATCTGTTCACAAGCAGCATGTGAGGGTTGCTCAGAAACCACTCTTGCAACCACACCAGATTCCAAGTATTTCTAACATTTAGTCACCACCCTAATGAAAGATAGATGGGATTAACTAAGGCCAACAAAATTGGATGTTTCTTAACTCACCATAATTTAGACCTCTTTCAGAACCTGCTGACAATGATCCATAAACACCATAAAAATGTGCATGTGACAAATGTACACAAATGCCATGTTTCTCTAGCATAGACTCGAATACAGCTGACCACTGTTGCCTCTCATCCCAATCCAGCAATGACCATGATACATTATTTAAATAAGAAAAGGAAGAAGCATATTACCCTTATCTTATAAAGAGAAGGCTGAATTTTGTAAATGGCTATTTTCATAGGGATTTTTGACACTGTAAATCAAACTTAAGAGCTTCTTCAATGACTTCAACTCACCCCCTTGTTCATCCAGCATAGTGATGGTCTTGATTCCCGCATCCTGAGACTAAAAGGGGAGGAGGAAGATGAAAGTACAAGCAAACAACCCAAAATAACAGTAAAACTTGCAAATACTGACAAATGACAAGAATCATAAAAAAAAAAAAAAAAAAAAAAAGAAAAGAAAAGGAAAAGAAAAAAAAAAAAAAAAGTTCTCAGGGACCAGCATTATAGACAGAACTAGCTGTCTCGAATCAACACACATATTAACTAAACCCTGAAGTAATTACGTCAGAAGCCTATGACTTATCTTCCTTGTCTATATCCCAATACTTACAAAGAAAAAACAGAAATGACTTATCAGTGCATCACTGGACAGTGTTCAGCAACTGCTGGTTTCAAATCACATCAATTACAGCTAGTGCTAATATTCCATCTATAAATTTCTATATGTGAACATTGAATATTTCTTACCTCAATGGCTAAACCCAGGATTCTCCTCGTACTTTCCAATGACTAGGAAGAAATACAGAGTTACAGCATTCCAAAAATATAGGAAAACAAATTGATAACAGGATATATTTATGATGATATTTATTGTTAAAACTTGCCAGCAAATCCCCCTCCTTACAAGAAAGTAAAAAAGGAGACAACTCCACTTTCATTTTCTTCCTATTAGGCATTCCTTAAGAGACTTCAGATGGTGAAGTAGACGGAATTTCACACAGGTAGGCAGAAATATGTCTATTACACATATTTTAAGGAATCATTAAAACTCAGAATTCCTTCCAGAATTGCAAGTAACTGTTAAATACTAACCACCTTAAAGGGACCAAGAAGCTAATCTGATCTCTAAAAAGACACTCTCACTTTTCTACTGTGGAAATAGAAATAGGGGCCTGTAAAATGTCTCAGGAGGTAAAAGTACTTCCTACCAAACATGACCACCTCAGTTCAATCCCTGGAACCCACATAATGGAAAAACACAGTGACTCCTACAAGCTGACTTCTGACCTTCATATGCATCAGACAGACAGACAGACAGATACACATACATTCACACAGCAAAACTAAATTAATTAAAATGTAATAAAAATTAAAATGAAAACAAGCTCATTCACCTCATCAGTAACCTGGTGAGCCCTTAGCTGAATTTCTTCTGATGACAGATTATCCATGGTGAATCAAAACTCTACTGCACACAGGAACAGAAATATGGGTAATCTAGAAGAATAAGGATACAGAAGAGTTTGAGCAAAAAGCATAGATTTACGAGATTTAGGTATTTACCAGGCCAGCAGGATAAAAGGGCTGATCTCATTACCTGCCCTGCTATACCACAGAGACAGGAACTCAGGCTAAGAGAAAAAAAATGTAAATTTAATGCTATTAGTACAAGAACTAAAACTAATACACAGGAGAAATACTCTTTTTTTGAGACAATCAATCCTATATCCTAAGTGGCTTGAACTTGCTACAAAGCACAGGCTGACCTTGAACTTCTGACCCTTCACTACGCACATCCTACATGCTGCAAATGCCAGGACAAGCACTCTACCAACCAAGCTACATCCCAGATCCAGATGAAGTACTTTTCCCATGGCTCTAAAAAGCAAGGAATCCATGAAATATAAACTTTGAAAGAATATCAGAATGATTTCCCAGGCCAGTGAGATTGCTCAGCGGGTAAAAGCACTTGCCATGTAAGCATGAGCACCTATGGGCACTGAGATGGCTTAACAGGTAAAAGTGCTTACCATGTAAGCCTAGTGGCTTGAATTTGATCTTGGAACCTATATAAGGTTGAAGTACTATGGGACAGATACTGATTTTCTTTACTGCATTTGCTAGTTTTATATTACACTTCATATGTATGTACATGTATGTGCCAATGTATGTATGAGTCTGCACAAATGTATGTCGTGGCACAGATAGCACACTGCACATGTGTTAGAAGAGAGTCTGAGGGATCAATCAGTCCTTGCCTTCCACCTTGTTTGTGACAGGGTCTCTTTTTGTTCTCTGCTGCACGTACCAGGCTGCTAGGTCCAGGGATTCTCCTGTCCCTACCTCCCATTTAGTCATGAGTGCTAGGATTATACTTGAACTTCTGCACCTAGCTTTACAGGGGTTCTGGGAAACTGAACTCATGTTCTCATGATTGCATAGCTATCACTTGAACCCACTAAGCCCACCTCACAGCTCTATATTACATTTCTGAAAAGCAGTTATTGATTTGCTGTCTTGAAACATTTTCATTGTTGTTTTTTGTGGGGAACCCCAGAACAAAGTTAGCATCTTAACAGCCATCTTTCCTACTTAGATACTAACATACTGGCAATTTTCCATTTCCCTATGACTGTCCTCCTGTTAAGCATATGATGCAGCCTGACCCTGAAAGAGTCCCAGATGCAGGCTTATCATATAGCGACTTATCTTATAGCAGAACAGCTGCATCCTGCTTGGAAGGACATTCTGCTTCCCTAACATCCTCCCTTTGGCCCATTCCCTCATTTCTCCACAACTGTGGTTATATTCATTAAACGAGACTTGATCAGAATACTGTCTTGTCTCCACCTTTACAGTCTCTTGTCCCCTCATTTTCACTCCCTCCCTCAGGGTCCCCATAAACTCACCCCTAGGGCTGGGGCAGTTTTTGAGAAAGGGTCACATGTAACTCAAGCTGGCTTCACACCTGCTATGTAACTGAGGGATACAATGAACATATTCTCTTTCTGCCTCTGCCTCCCGAGTGCTGGGATTAGAGGTGTGGGTCACCATGTTCAGCCTTTGGAAACTTGTGATTATAGAAAAGTGGAGAATGTCAATGGCCAGAAGAAGCAAGGGAAGCTACTAAACTAAAACTCCTAACACTCATTCTGAAAGCTGATCAACAAAGAATGACCAAGCACGAATGTTAAAAGTGTTGAGATCAGGAACCCTGCTATAAACTATACTGACAAACAGAGAATCAAATTAACCAGGAATATGCTACACTTTTGAGGGGAAAGGTTTTGTTCATCATTCGGTTTCTAACACCAAACAGGATCTGACAGTACACATTTGTAAAATAACTAATGAATGAACAAACAAGTAGAGAAACAGGCACTCTCAAAGAAATGCAGCCCGTAAGAAAAGAGCTGTACATGTAGTAGCAAAAAGTAGACAATCAATCACTGGAACCACAACCCATAATCCACCACTGCAAGTGTGCGATATAGAATTAAATGGCCAGTTGGTTATGGGCAGACTTCCTGTTGAGGCTGAGGGTGTAGCTCAGTGGAAGAGCATTTACTTTATATGCACAAGACCCTGGGTTCAATCCCCTTGAATATAGTAACACACTTTTTCATCCTTTGTGTGTTGGGAATTGAAGCCAGGACTTGAAACATGCTAGGCAAACGAGCCACAACTCCCAGTCCTTTAAGTATGCATTTACCTAATATTTTGATCCTTAAAAGTTCATTTAAATAGTATATTTGAGGTCCCTAAGATGTCTCAGAAAATAAACAAAAACAAGAGTTTGAAGATGGACTTGAAGCACAGTCAGTCAAGAGACAGTATGGGGGAAGAAAGATGTAAGAGAGAGTTATTATTTTGTTCCCTATCACCTCCAGATGTCCGTATACCTTTCCTTGTTCTGCTCTTGTTTACTTAGGTAGATTCCGGTTTCTCTGTTGCTTCCTAGAGCCCCAGTCAAAACCTGCTCTGAAGTCACCTGTGATTCCAATGAGTAACTCCTTAGTGCCCAACAGAAGGACAAGAAACAAGAAAAACACTACACACTTATCAATTAGTCCTTTCAAACAACACCTCAGTCAGGTTTTCAGACAATATACTATGGATACAGAAACACTGTAGGAAAAGGAAGTCCAAATCTCTCAACACAATTTTGTATTTCTATTCCTACCAGTGATTCTTGCCAACTATAAGTCAATATTTACCATCTTGCTAGTAAAAGTTAAACAAAACAAAAATCTCAATCTCAATAGGTTCCAAAAGAGGCTTGAATCTACAACTGTCTCCTTTTTTTTTTTTTTTTTTTTTTTTTGTTTTTTGTTTTTGTTTTTGTTTTGTTTTGTTTTGCTTTGCTTTGGTTTTGGTTTTTTGAGACAGGGTTTCTCTGTATTGCTTTGGAGCCTGTCCTGAAACTCACTTTGTAGACCAGGCTGGCCTCGAACTCACAGAGATCCACCTGCCTCTGCCTCCCGAGTGCTGGGATTAAAGGCAGGTGCCACCAACACCTGGCCTACAACTGTCTTGTTTGAAAACTGAAGACTAAGAATCTGTCCGTTCTTCTAAAAATCAAGAGATAAAGTTGGAAAGTAGATGTGTCAAGTGACAGTGAGGTCATCTGGAAGCACGCCCTTTCCATGAACTTAAGTTCTGCTCAATACTTTCCCTTCTCTAGCAGAGGGCTCTGAATAAGGATCAGGAAGGAACAAAGACCTCTAGGTGTGCTGACGTCAGGAAGCAGGTGTGCCTACTTGGGATTCTTTCAAAGGTTATTTTTGTTAATGTGTATCTATGAGTTATGCGCACCGATATACACAGGAGCTCTCAGATGCCAGAAGAGGGTGTTGTTCTTTGACCTCCATGTGTATACTCACACACACACACCCACACAAATACATATACACACAGACATACACACAGAGTAAACGAACAAGACTCAGCTTCCTCACTATAAAATAGGATAATAGCATACTTTGTTGATTTCTGGTGAAGACATAAGAGAAATGCAGGTAGCTAGGACCGCTCAAGCCTGCATTCTCTGTACAGAGAAGCTGAGGATCAGGAATTCAAGATCAGCTTAGGTTACAAAGTAAGATTCTCAACACAAACATAGGTGGGTGATCCTTCAAAATCTTAGCACAACCAGGCATGGAGGCAGCACATGACTTTAATTCCAGCACTCAGGAGAAGAAGCAAGTGGATCTCTAAGATTAGTGAGTTCCAGGTTAGCCAGGGCTATGTAAAGAGGCTGTGTCCAAAAAAAAAAAGCTTTAGCACACTCACTGGCATGTGTCTCATGCAGCTCAGGCACCAACCTAAAACATACATATTTGAGGGTGACTTTGAATGCCTGATTTTCTTCTATCTCCTATGTGCTACCAAGTACCATTTAAAATTGGGCAATTTTTTTGTTGTTATTTTTAAATGTACAACTAATGGGTCCTAATATTATTAAAAGGTTGAAGCAGCCCACAAAATGAAATATTTCTTTACAAATCTTAAAAACATAAGATTCCCCTTAAAAAGACTTTTTCTCCTTTTCTTCTGACTTCACAAGCAATAAACAAATAGCACAAAACACAAAAAGGAATAAAAGGTTGAATAATGTAAGTTTTTTAAACAAAAATACACAATAACAGTAGAGAAAAATAGAAATTGAAAAGGTCTGGTAGAGATTCATCAAAATACTTCTAATTGGATGTCATAATTCTCAAAAATAGGCATATTAGTAAATGCCCACATTCCTACCACTCTGGAAGGCTCACACATGAAGACTGTTCAAGCTAGCCTGAACTATAGGAAGTTCAAGGCTACTTTGGGCTCCATACTGAGTCCCTGACTCAAAACAAAGGTTGGTGGGATGGGAATAGAGCACTTGCTACTGTAACAGAGGGCCTAAGTTTGGTCCACAACCCATATAACTCCAGGTCCAGGGAAATCTGACAACTTTTCCTGGCCTCCTCAGGCACCTAGAACACACATGGTGTACATACATGTATGCAGGCAAAAAAACATACAAAAATAAATAAATCTCCTCTTCAAAGTGATTTTTTTCTTCTTTACCCCAATTTCCCAAACTGTTCGCTATAGAGTTATATTGTAAATTTCACATATTTATCTTCATTTTAAGTGATAGTTTACGGTAGCCAAGAAAATATGAGAATAAAACAAAAAGGCTGGAGATATGGCTCAGGGTTTAAGAGCACTTACTGCTCTTCCAGGACCCAACGTTGGTTCCTAGCACACATAAGGGGGTACAACTCTAGCTCTAAAGGGATCTGATGCTTCTGGCCTCTGCAGGCACCCCACACTCATGTCCATACACCCACACACATGTATGCATACAATTAAAAAAAAATGAGTGGGACAGGCCTCTGTGAATCTGAGACCAGTTCTGTCCACACAGCAAACTCCAGGCCAGCCAGGGATACATAGTGTGACCTTGTCTCAAACAACAAAAACAAACAAAAAGAATGGAGAAAATACAG